CCGTCTCGCGCGCTCTCGGGCTGGGGCATAAATAATCATGCGAAAAACTCGACTGGCCGAACACCGCGTGCGTGCTCGGGAGAGGGAGGGAGAGAAAGGGCCTGGCCCGTCTGCTCGTACTCTATATCCTCGAGCTCTACATCCGAACCCCAGGTCGCGGATTCCAACGAGGCCTCGGCAGCCTCGGGAGCGCGACGGGGGGGAACGAATGACTCCTTCTCAAAAACCGCGAGCCGAGAGCGGAGGGTTTTGAGAAGCAGGTTGTCACAAAACTTGCATTTAGACAAGCCTAAAACAGCCTCACGCGCATGCGAAAAACCCATACATTTAATACACTTACTGTGAGGGTCGTCGTTCGCAATAAAGCGAACGCATGGCGGCGGGCAACGACGAAACTCCATAGCTCTTCACCGCAAGGAGAACTGAGTTCCACTATTCGCAGTCGCTGAAGTGCAGATGAAGAATGCTGATGATAAATCCGAATTATTTGGGCCAGAAAAACCGAGACCGAAGGGCTAAGATGGCCGCTTTGTGAAGGCAGAAAAATCTGAGGAGCAGATGGCGCGCGCGTGCTAATATAATGTGACGACGCAAGAGCGTCGGGGCGGTGCCCGCGCCATCAGCCAATGAATTGGTGTGATTCTATAAGGGCTTCAGACAATCGGCACACCCAGAGGGCGTTCCCACTGCGTCCTAAGCTACACAGCGTTGAGTGAACCTATGAAAGAGAACATCAAAACAACACATCAACAGTCCATCCCACAGGTGAATATGAATCTGCCTGAGGGACTCAGAACCAGGGGCGTCACTAGGCCCTTTTTAGGGGGGCTTCAGCCCCCCTAAACTTCTGCCTAGCCCCCCTAAAAATGTGCGATTAATGTAGGCTACACAAATTCGTGTTCGCTTCAGTCTTGTTATAATCAGATTCAGCGCGTTCTTCATCTTCAATCCGCAGCGGCGCCGACAGAGAGCACGTCAGAAACAGAGGACAGGGTGTGTGTGTGTGTGTGTGTTCATGTGTGTTCATCTGAGCCTCATTGGTCTGTCACTGCTCGTCAATGTCAGAATATTTGAGATGACCAATCAAATCAAAGTAGGCGGGCTTTATGTTCACAGACGCTGCTGAGCGCGAATTTTAACAGTGCGACTCGACGCGTACGGTCAAGTGCGAGATAAGATGTAAGTAGCTAAACTTAACATTTCATATTTAACTTTTTTTAGGTCATAAATGTTAAACGAATGACAAAAAATAATCAGGCAAACTAATATAGTTTTGTCTAATTTCGCCATTTTGAACTGAAAATAGGCTGTAACGTGACTCATGTAATGTAATAATTAGTTTACAAGAAACATTAACAAAGCCGTTTTCATCATGTTAGGCACAAGATTAATAATGAATGTGTTCATATTGAGGATATAATACAAATTGTAGCCTTTAGTAAATTAAAAAACCTCAGCTTTAGGAGGGGAAGAGAAAGGGATGAAGAGACTGAGAAAAAAAGGAAGAGTGATGGAGATGAGAAGAGAGCAGGTATTGACAAATAATCTGCCCACTGACATGGTTTTAAAGCTATTTCTTATCCTTTTTTGGTCTTCAAACGTCTTGAAATGCACATATCAGAGAAATAAAAAAATTGAACCCCCTACCAACCTCAAATTTAGGACCTCTGTGACTAAAGCCCTGTCTACGGCCCTGTGTTAGGCATAAGATCAATAATAAATGTGTAGCCTACATATTGTGAATGCATTTAATAAACTTAATTCCCTTTAGTAGCTTTCAGTAAATAAACGCGTCTGAGAAAATGATTCATAGGCAAAATCAACCTATCAATTGGCCCTATGTTTACTTTCTTCACTGACAGACAAAAATGAAAAGCCTATATCAGTCAAAGCTCAGCTTTAGGAGGGGAAGAGACAGGGCAAGATAAAAACAAAGAGAAAAAGAGTGTGATGCTGATGAGGAGAGAAAAATAATCAGCTGCCCACTATCCAAGTTTTTTGGCCTTCAGAACATCTTAAAATGCACATATGTAGATCAGAGAAATCAAAATTTTCTCGGGGAAACCCCGAACCCCCTTATTTGCCCTACCTCACATTAGGGACCACAGTTATTATAAAACCGTGCCTTTGCATCGTAATGAAAATGGTTAATAGTGATCTTTAGATCCTAAACTAAAGTGTTAAATTTTTTTATTTTTTTTAAAAAAAAATCATATTGGGGGCTGAGCCCCCCTAAAATGAAAATCCTAGTGACGCCCCTGCTCAGAACCACTTTAGGATCCCACAATTACAGATTTGTTTAGTATTATATAGTAATTATATTATACAAAAACTGAAATGTGTTGTGTAACGTAATTGTTTTGTATAAATAGTGTGTAAAGTATTGTAGGCTATATGTGATGCATGTATACAATGTCAGAGCGCGTCACGTGACGATTCTGAACAAATCACGTTGTCAGAAATTGGCATCAGCCGATGAGATTGCGCCTTTCGAGTTAAATCGCCCGTTTTACTTTCACGATTGGTTGCTGATAAACAGGAAATGACCATATTTGGATCCGATAGCGTAAAAGGAGAGAGAGAGCTTTCTAACGGTGTGTGTGCTGTGAGTGATGACAGGTTGCAGACAGCAATCGCGGAGCAGCGGGATGATTTAGATCGCCAACTTTTGTTGAATTTATGCGAAATCTACACACGCAAACAGACAAAGTGTAGTAAAATAAAGACCTAAATGTGTATTTTGGACTTTTTTTCAGCACAAGTCTGAAAGAAGACATGTTGTTAAAGACAAATAGCCCAAAATCTCAAAATTGACCAGTGGAAAAAAAACTATGTTTTTGCCTGCCGCGTCTCGCCTTAAACACCTGTTACGAACCTCCAGTGGAACGTCCAGGGAGGGAGGAGGTTGGCGACAATAATAAAACCATTTCGGGTTGAAGGAACAAAGGATACCAATTTATCAACAAGTATGGCGTTTATTTACAACATTAAATAACCAAAAGGTACAACAGATACAAAAAGGTAAGTATCAAAAAGGTACAACAAAAAACAACTACAAACACTAGTATTTACCACCCTCTCTCCACTGAGAGAGTAAACCCCAACACGAGGGTCAGACTTGTTACACACTACTGCACGGACCCCACTAACGCCACTGCAGTATCACCCAGCTCCGGTACGCTGTCTGTATAGAGACGTCTGTTCTCCACACACTCCTCTATCAGTCTGCCTGTTCTCTTCCCTTTGTAACAGCGCCCGCTCTCCTGCTGATTGCCAACAGGTGTGCACACTAGCTGATTGCCAATTGGAGACAGGTGTGCCCACAGGACCTGCAGAAGACAGACAAACAGCAGTACACCTGGGCAGACACACACACACACACACACACACACACGCACACACGTAACACTCCCCCCCATAAAATCAAACTAGGGGTTTGACTAAGGATAAGGTCACAATTCACTACCACTTGAGACAGAACAAAACAAAAAACACTCCCACCTAATCTCAGACATCTCCCATCCCCCCCAGCGGATGAATAAGGAAACTTCTCACCCGCGAGACAATGCGTCGGCTATCACGTTGTCAGCTCCTTTCTTATGACGGATCTCCAAGTTGTAACCCTGCACCAACAGAGCCCACCTCATCAGGCGTTGGTTGTGGTTATACATTTGGGACAGGAAAACCAAAGGGTTATGATCTGTAAATACAACAACTGGAGAGGGGTTATAACCAACATAGACTTCAAAATGCTGCAAAGCAAGCAGCATTGCGAGGGTTTCTTTCTCTATAGTGGAGTAATTGAGCTGGTGTTTCTTGAACTTGACAGAGAAGTAGCTAACCGGATGACAGACATCTCCTTCTCCATCCTGCAACAGCACAGCACCAGCGCCGGTGGCACTCGCGTCCACCTCGAGCTTAAAGGGAAGAGAAAGGTTTGGCGCAGCCAGGACAGGGGCACAACAGAGAACAGATTTCACTGCTTCAAAAGCATGTTGACATTCGTCCGTCCACAGGAACGGGACAGTGGGACTACACAAACTAGTCAGAGGGGCGACAACTACTGAGAAGTTTTTGCAAAAACACCTGTAATACCCAGCCATACCAAGGAAACGACGGAGCTCACGTCTAGTTGTAGGGGCTGGGTAGGTTAGTACAGCAGTCACCTTGGCGTCAACAGGTGGGCTATGGCCAGGTCTGCAGAAGTGAAACCCGAAATGGTTTTATTATTGTCGCCAACCTCCTCCCATCCCGGACGAGCCCCCAAATTGTTACGAACCTCCAGTGGAACGTCCAGGGAGGGAGGAGGTTGGCGACAATAATAAAACCATTTCGGATTGAAGGAACAAAGGATACCAATTTATCAACAAGTATGGCGTTTATTTACAACATTAAATAACCAAAAGGTACAACAGATACAAAAAGGTAAGTATCAAAAAGGTACAACAAAAAACAACTACAAACACTAGTATTTACCACCCTCTCTCCACTGAGAGAGTAAACCCCAACACGAGGGTCAGACTTGTTACACACTACTGCACGGACCCCACTAACGCCACTGCAGTATCACCCAGCTCCGGTACGCTGTCTGTATAGAGACGTCTGTTCTCCACACACTCCTCTATCAGTCTACCTGCAGAAGACAGACAAACAGCAGTACACCTGGGCAGACACACACACACACACACGCACACACGTAACAACACCTATAAACTATCAGACAAGACTTCATTCAAGCAACATTCAAACTTTGTCTTGACGAACTACCTTTTCCAAAAATTATTATTATTATTAATTTACTTTATTTAATAAATTATTTTTGCAGTTTTATTTGACTTTTTTTAATTTTCAATTCAAAACTTTGTTCTGTCACTTCACAGGTGAATTTGTGGTTTTGTTATTATTGTTATTAGCCTAATACATTATTTATTGAGCTTTTTTAATTTCTGTTCCTTTTCATTCTATTTCCTTAAATTCCAATTCTTTGTCTGCTCCATCAGGTGCATTTGTGGCAAAGTTTTCCCGCTCTCAGAAGCGCTGTGACGGGATCCTGTTCAGCCCTCAGGCCGTAGTGTGTGAGGTCAGAGGTCGGCGCTGTTTGATGTTCCGTGTGTGTAACCTGCTTCCAAGGCCGCTGGTCGACGTGTACGTGAGCGCCGTTCTCTACGAAGAACGTGGCGATCACGAACTCCACCAAACTGCAATGGAATTCAGCGTTGATAACCTGGGGTCACGACCTTGCCCTCTTTTTCTGTCACCCTTGACCTTTTTTCACCCCCTAACTCCCTCCAGCTCCCTAAACAACGCCCCAACCAACCAATCGCACTTTGAGTTAGTGGTGTTCCTGACCGCCTCTCAGGAGAGCACGGGTTCTGGCTACCACAAGAGGACGTCCTACCTGCCCGACGAGATCCAGTACGGCAGCTGCTTCACCAGGGTGACGTCTCTGCACGGAAAAGGCCGGAACAAAACCCAAAGCATGCGCTATTTTGACATGCAGCCCTGTCCGCTCACACTCCCCAACACACACACCACAGACACGCACACGCTGGAGAAAGAACACGTGGTGGTCCAGATTAACGGGGAAGGCAGTGACCGGGTGGAGTAGCAGCGGTTATGTTTTTATGCAAGGGTGTATAAAAAGTGTATTTCATTTTATAACACAACCTCCAATGTATGACTTTTTTTTATCCTAAAAGACAACCTCAGTTAGTTATGATCTGTTATGTCACTCCGTCCCAATAGGAAACCATTTTTGCTGCTATGGAAACAATGATTCACATTCGCATCCTTCAGTACTTCTGAACACACCATGACAGATGTGTAAGACCATGTCTTCATTTGGAAATATGAGGAATCTCCAGTGATTTATTATGAGAATTTTTCACCCTGAATCCACTGACGCCACACAACCATCATGTTTGAGCCCTTATTTATTTGGCACCTGGATCATTGCGTTATCTGTCCGAGTCAGAGGGGCCATTTTTAATTTATAAATTATTAAAGCCCTACATGGACAGGTTTCCTCCTTGTCCATAAAGTATTTTTTATCAAAATACATGAATGTTAGAGATATTCACCCAAAAATGAAAACGTATTTACTTTGCCTTGTTTCATGTTCATTAACACCCCTATTAAGTGCCTAATACAAAACTTTTTTGTTTGTTTGTTTTTTTCACCAAAGTCATGAAATGGACATTTGGATCGAGAGATCAAACACTGTACTGAACATTAACAATGCTGTAAATAATAAAGTATATACATAAATAAATAGATTATTCACTAGATTATTTTTGGGGAATATTATCAGTGCAATGCAATCTATGCAATAAAACAAAATACATTAGATCAATCGTATTGATGGCACAACATTGTATGATTTTTTTACTGTAGGAAATGATATAGCACATGTACTGTCTGTCACTCAGAAAAGGCTTATTACTAATATATGTATATTATAAAGCTTGATTGTTAAACTCTGGAAACTCTGGAAAAGAATTGTGTAGTAGTTTAGTTTTCTGCCACTAATAAAGCTACACTGAGTGGCAACTAATCTGTAAAAGAAATGCCTTTATTTTGAAATGTGGAGCACAAAAACTGGATTAAAATATCTGTGAAAATATTGTGGTTGGGTTTTTTTTTTTATCATAACTGAACAATTTATGCCTTTTATTCCTTCATACAGAGTCCTTCATACAAGTGCTGCCACTTCCGACAGAATAAATGTCAGGGACATAACAGTTGGAATAAAACAGATACATTTTTTTTTTTTTTTTTTTTTTGAAAAATACAGGCTTTAATAGGCTTTATGTAATTGGCAAAAACAAGAGAGTTACAGGTAGATATTATGAACATCTGATAAAATACAATTTACCAAAACTTAACAACAAACATATATTTAGGTGACAAATATGTAGAAAAAAAGCTAACAAAAAGAAAAAAGAACAAAATGCATGATTCAAATCTATAAAAAATAAACATATTTCTTGACCCTTTGTTTCCTTTTTTTTTTTTCTCCGTTGGTCATAATCAATATTTAGTCCACGACACCAACTATTTAAAATTATGATTAGCACTTTACAATAAACGTCTTTTTTCTAAAAATATATAGTTGCTTAGATGATTAAAATAGTCTATTAGAGTTTATTCTGTTTATGTCCTACATTACAAGACTCCTGAAATTTCACTCGCTTCATCTCTCGCTTCAGCCGTCACCAGTGAAACTAATTCCTCATGCATATTTCAGGATAGCTGTACGCCACTAATAACGCTAATGATACTTGTTCAGTGTTACGCTGAGGTTTTGATTACACATATATGTGTGAGGTACAAGAAGCAGTGTGTGTGCATGCGTGCTTGTGCTTGTGTGCAAGTCAAATGTGCTCTCTAAAAGGCATAGATCTTTGTTTATGTTTATGATCTTAGGAGTTTTATGAACAGAAGGTCGACTGCAGCTCTTTAAACGCGGCACGCCGTTCTTTTCTTTCAAGCTCCATCCTCTTCTTCTCTTCTTGTTCCTCTCGTATCTCCGCCTCGAACTTACTGCGCACAGACAGAGCCTGAACCTACCACAAACACATGGATAAAACACATATCAATTATGTGTTACTACAACATAATAATGAATGCATTGCTATTGCTGTAGCCGTGCTAAAACACTTTTAAATCAGTAAAATGCCAATTGTGTAGTCAGGCTTATTCGTTTGAGGTGTTATTCATCTTGTTAGGTGTGTGTCCCAAATCTGAAGATCAAAAATTAAAAGTAAAACCTTTAAAAAATGGCATTAACTGAAATAAAGCTTAAAAAATAAATATATATATATATATATAAAAAATTAGAAGAAAGATTTAAAGGTAAAAAAAAAAAAACTTTCAAAAGCTAAATTAGAAATTTGCCTTGGGAATGAAATTAAAAAGTTTAAAATGAATAAAATCACTGAAACTAAAACTGAAATTAACATCAATTAAATCTAAATAGAAATATATGTATATTTAAAAAACTGTTGAAAATGAAAAAGGTACACGAGAAAATTACTAAAGCAAACTAAAATAAAAATGAAAACTGAAAATATAAAAATAAAAGCTAATCTAAAAATATGTTTAAATACTATAATAGTCTGCAATCAAATCAAAAATAATAATACTTATGAGAAATAATATATAATATAATATAAAGTATGCATAATAATATTAAAATACAACAATAAAAAAGTACACTGATGTTAAATTGAACTAATAAGACGCTTCACAAATGTACACATTATATTTAATACAATGAATAATAATATTTTAAAAGGTTAACATTAATTAAAATAGAATTTGTTTAGCTACAAATTTTAGAAAATGCAAAAAGGTCTGCACTCTAAAAATACTTTCAAAAGGTTCAATGAGGAGATAAGAATAGTGTAAATGTTTCGGCTATTTGCCTTTGTCAGTGTTAATTTATGACATAGGTGTTCAAAAATATTCGAAAATCCAATGTAACCCTCTCTAACTGAGTGTGTGTTCATATACTTACACAATATGAACACAAGAGGGAGACTGAAGCCAAAAATAATCTTCTGAAGAACATGGGAGAAGTGCTTTCCCATGCATCAAAACACTCTTTCACATGAAAAGATATAAAAGCCCACAAACCTTGGCCTCAAAGAAGTCCCTCGCTCCAAGAACGCCCTCGGTGGAGACGTCGATCTCTGAGAGTCGAGCCAGAGCCATCAGCCCGCTCTCCTCCTGCAGCTCGCCTGCCGCGGCCCTCCGGAAGATCAGCAGGAACTGACACAGGTGGACAGGTTTGGGTTATAGGGACGTTTCAATAGCTTTAAAGGTTATCAGCATTTCATGGGAGGGGGCATTTCTATTCAATTCTAAAAATAAACACAAAAGCATATGACATCAGTTGGCATGTCAGCACATAAACTAAAAGTTCAGCTGCTTTTATTTACCCACAAAATGAAAGGCGCTGCAGACATTTCCCTTTAAATGATAAGCAATAAGCCCATTTTATTGAATCGATCATTTTATTCACATCCACACAGAACTGATTTCATTGGGGGGAAGGGGGAGGTCAAAAGTATGACCCTGCTTGTGTGTGTGTGTGTGTGTGTGTGTGTGTGTGTGTGTGTGTGTGTGTGTGTGTGTGTGTGTGTGTGTGTGTGTGTGTGTGTGTGTGTGTGTGTGTGTGTGTGTGTGTGTGTGTGTGTGTGTGTGTGTGTGTGTGTGTGTGTGTGTGTGTGTGTGTGTGTGTGTGTAATCTTATCCATTTGGAATGTCTGTCCAATCTCAAGAGTCAGAGCAACATCTGACAGACAACAGACTCACTGTACTTAAGACACAGCTGCACTATCACCTGTTTGGGTGTGTGTGTGTGTGTGTTAGAGAGGGGTGGGGGCTTGATGAGGATACGACAGCCCCACGAGTTAAAAAAGTTACTAAATAATGTCTTAGGTCAGGGTTTTTTGATATTTTTGATACCACAGACCCCAAATATCACTATCCTCATGTGAGGGGCCTCCGTATTAAAAAATTAAGGGCATCTATCTTTTATTTACAACCAACTTTTACACTATAGATATAGAAAGGGACAAGAGAAAGTATACAGTATAAATATATATATAAATTAATAAAAATGTGATTATAATAAAAAAATAGCTAGTTGAATTGTTCATCTATTCTAAATTGGATTAAAATAAACAAATATTATAAATGTATGTGTGTGTGTGTTTTCTACTCACTATTGTAATGTACAGTTGAATATATTATTTACACATTGTAGTTATTTGTTTTTATTATTTTTTATTATTCCTTCATCACAATTATTTTAATCTAATTTATTTATGTGCTTATTCATTTTAATCTTATTTATTTGTATACAGTTTTTCTCTAGACCCCGTCACCCCCAGTTTGGAAACTTACAATAATCAGAAGGTGTATTTGTCGATTATAGGTATTATTTGTCGATTCCGTATAAGATACATTTTAAGTCATTATAATATGTATGGAAGTCAGTTTTGCATTAGAAAGTATTACTTCAATCCTTAAAAAGTTATATATTAGAATATCATAGAGACCGTTGTGTGTGTGTTCTGAGTGGTTGCTAGGCCGTCTATGGCCCTGTTTACACCTGGAATTAAGATGGGCTTTGGTCGATCGGATCACAAATGGAAGACGATATATAATACAGGTGTAAACAGGGTCTAAAACATTATGAGCATGTCCACTTTTAACAATTTCCAGAGGTAGTCGAAAACGCATTCGACCAGATTGCTTTTGTTGTGTAAACGCTCATGTGGTCGAATGCGTTCGAACAGCTACAAAAAAAACACCTACTCTCCGCCTTTGACTTAATGCGTAAACATTAAGCATTGAGGCTTGAAGCTGAAGACTCAAGTTTGGTTTGAAGAGGAAAAATGTACCAAGCACAATGTTCTCTCACCATTCCTGATTTCTAACACACACTCACAGCGTCTAGTGTCATTTTTCGGCCATTAATTTGTCCATTAGATTGAAAGATCTGAAAAAGCCCATACATTTACCCGGCCGTAGACCCTCACCTCGAAGAAATCAGGACAGGAGTGGTTGAAAGAGGACAAAAGAGGCGGATTTAAACACCAGGTATAAACTGGAACGTGTCTCCCACGTCTACTTGTGATCTGATCGACCAAAACACATCTTAATACCAGCTGTAAACAGAGCCAATGATATTCTGATTGCTACATGTGTGTGGCGCCTTTCCCATGTAAGTCTATAGGATTATGTTGGCCCATGTTATCACCCGCCAGGTGAAAATTGACTAAGGCGATTAAATCTTATTGACATTTAAATGAAGACACATCAGAGCTGCATTCAGAGATAGAGATTTTATCTCTTACAGACCTCTCAAAAAATGTGCTGTGATCGTATCATTTAAGTAGAAGAGTCTAAAGTGGTTTCCATGGAGGGTGATCTCTGAAAAGATTGAATCACCAGATTAAATCAGTCATCTGGGACGATGATAGACTTAACAAAGCTGTAACTATAGCATGAAAGACACATGCACACACCTCTCTGTAGCTGAGTTTGCCGTCATAATCTTCATCCACCTCCTTGATCATGTTCTTCAACCCCAGATGAGTCTGTGGAGCTCCAAGTTTCTCCATCATCAGCTTCAGCTCCATCAGATCGATGAAGCCGTCTTTACCGGAGTCAAATCTACACACACATGCATACACAAACAGCTTTAAAAGGTGTAGTTCACCTGAAATTAAAGTTCTGTTATAAATGACACACATTTTGTACTGTTTTTTTCATTTATGACGACGATATATCTCCATTATCGGGAAATAATAATGATTATTAATATTATCAGTGAAACTACAATGTTGATCATAATTTAAACCTGTTATATGGCTTCATAAGACCTGTAATATAGGGCAAAAGTCATATGAACTGTTTTATGGTTCTTTTTTGTTGTTTTGTTGTTGATTACAAGTTTAGAACAACTTTACCAGTAAAATGATTTATGTGACTGTTCAAAGGTTTGGGATGAGAAACTTTTTTTTTTTTTAAGGATGAATCATTTTAATAAGCATGGATGCATTAAATGAACCAAAAAATAGCAGTTTGGATATTTATAATGTTACAAAAGATTTATATTTCAGATAAATACTATTATTTTCTATTCAACAAAGAATCCTATAAAAAAACACATTTATCACAGTTTCCACATAAATATAAAGCAGCACAACTGTTTTCAACATTGATAAAAATTAGAAATGTTTCTTGAGCATCAAACCAGCATTTAAGAATGATTTCTGAAGGATCATGTGACTTTGATCACATGAACAAATTACATTTAAAAAATATACTCAAATAGAAACCAGGTATCTTTAAATCATAATAATATTTCACAATATTACAGTTTTGTTCTGTATTTTTGATCAAATGAATGGAACCTTGGTGAGTAGAAGAGGCTTCTTTCAAAAACCTGAAAAAACTTTTGAACTTGTATCAATGCTAATTGCATTTTAGCATCATATGGATCATATCAAGCTTTACTGACACTCAGAAGTGCCCGTTGACATGAAGATATCCAGCCGTCCGCAGCAGAACAGCAGGCGGAGAGTGACGGCAGAAACAGCAGGAAAAGAGGATCTAACGGAGGAGAGTATTTATAGTCTCACCCAGCTGTTGCCACACCAACCAGCAGGATCGCATGAGAGAGAGAGAGAGAGAGAGAGAGAGAGAGAGAGAGAGTGAGAGAGAGAGAGAGAGAGAGAGAGAGAGAGGAGAGAGAGAGAGAGAGGAGAGAGAGAGAGAGAGTGTTTGTCTTGAACATTGTGTGAAAGTGGAGAGGCTGAGATTGAAGGAGTGTGCACGTGTTTCTATTTTGGTTTGAGTGATGCTTTTAGAAAGAACAGGCTCAGGGTGGCAGAAGAGTACAGGTGAGCATCGTCTCTCCTTCTCCCCTCTCCGCAGAGGAAAGAAAATCATGAATGAGATGCCATTTTATTCTCAGACAGCAAAATGGGAGAAAGTTTCATGCGTCACAGACTTTCCACCAGAGGAAAAAAAAAAAGCCTTTTTTAATTTTACCTTTGTTAATTTCAATATTTACAAATACAATCTTAAAATAAAGGTTCTATATTGGCATCCATAGAAACTTCCCAATGCACAAATTGTTGTTTATAAAAAGGTGTTTTAAAGTAAAAAGTTATATGCTTTAAATTTGTTTAATGGACTTGAGCTAACACCCCAGATAGGAGGGAATGTTCTCCGAAATTTGACTAATGTTCTAGCAAGGTTTTCACAAAGTTATGAACAAACGTTCTACCAGTAACATTAAAATAATGTTTGTTCCAAGTTATATAGTTTTTAATACTGTTCTCAAAACATTAGCACAAATACATTATATATAAATTGTTCATGGAACTAAATTGAACTTTAAATTAGACATTGTTCATAAAATGAGACATTTTAGTTTATCTAACATTTTTAAAAGTTACAACTATTTTCAGAACATTCAAAGAATATTCAGAAGCAACATTCCCATAATGTCTGCAAAGTGATGAAATGTTCCCAAAAAAATTATTTTTCAAACATTTACAAAAACTTGACGTTTTGAACGTTAAGAAATAAAGTTTTCATAACTCTAGCAGAAACTTAGCAAAATATTCTTAGAACATTTGTTTGTTAACTGGGACAATAAATAACTAATGTTAACAAATATTTTAAAAAAAATTAACAAATGTATTTAATGCATTAAATAACGTTAACTAAACGAACCTTATTGTAGAGCTATCTGAGCTGCAATCCATATTCATTTAAGATTTCTATACCATTACTATATACACTCACCTAAAGGATTATTAGGAACACCTGTTCAATTTCTAATTAATGCAATTATCTAATCAACCAATCACATGGCAGTTGCTTCAATGCATTTAGGGGTGTGGTCCTGGTCAAGACAATCTCATGAACTCCAAACTGAATGTCAGAATGGGAAAGAAAGGTGATTTAAGCAATTTTGAGCGTGGCATGGTTGTTGGTGACAGACGGGCCGGTCTGAGTATTTCACAATCTGCTCAGTTACTGGGATTTTCACGCACAACCATTTCTTGGGTTAACAAAGAATGGTGTGAAAAGGGAAAAACATCCAGTATGCGGCAGTCCTGTGGGCGAAAATGCCTTGTTGATGCTAGAGGTCAGAGGAGAATGGGCCGACTGATTCAAGCTGATAGAAGAGCAACTTTGACTGAAATAACCACTCGTTACAACCGAGGTATGCAGCAAAGCATTTGTGAAGCCACAACACGCACAACCTTGAGGCGGATGGGCTACAACAGCAGAAGACCCCACCGGGTACCACTCATCTCCACTACAAATAGGAAAAAGAGGCTACAATTTGCAAGAGCTCACCAAAATTCAATCTTTACTGTTGAAGACTGGAAAAATGTTGCCTGGTCTGATGAGTCTCGATTTCTGTTGAGACATTCAGATGGTAGAGTCAGAATTTGGCGTAAACAGAATGAGAACATGGATCCATCATGCCTTGTTACCACTGTGCAGGCTGGTGGTGGTGGTGTAATGGTGTGGGGGATGTTTTCTTGGCAGACTTTAGGCCCCTTAGTGCCAATTGGGCATCGTTTAAATGCCACGGCCTACCTGAGCATTGTTTCTGATCATGTCCATCCCTTTATGGCCACCATGTACCCATCCTCTGATGGCTACTTCCAGCAGGATAATGCACCATGTCACAAAGCTCGAATCATTTCAAATTGGTTTCTTGAACATGACAATGAGTTCACTGTACTAAAATGGCCCCCACAGTCACCAGATCTCAACCCAATAGAGCATCTTTGGGATGTGGTGGAACGGGAGCTTCGTGCCCTGGATGTGCATCCCACAAATCTCCATCAACTGCAAGATGCTATCCTATCAATATGGGCCAACATTTCTAAAGAATGCTTTCAGCTCCTTGTTGAATCAATGCCACGTAGAATTAAGGCAGTTCTGAAGGCGAAAGGGGGTCAAACACAGTATTAGTATGGTGTTCCTGATAATCCTTTAGGTGAGTGTATAATTCTCATATTCATGTTTTAATTTCTCCTAAGGTATTTTAAAGAGAAAGCGATGTGAATGTTTATCAGGCTGTTTCATATGGTTCCTCTGAACGTACGTCTAATCTCGTCTCCTTCACACATTGTTTCTGAAAGGTCATTAACAGCTCAACCTTCATCGTTAAAGTGCTGCATAAAAGCTCTTCAATATCACGCAATATCCTCACTTTCTTTCTTTGCTGGATGTTGCTCTAACGGCCCATCTAAGACATGCTCACACTTGCTTGTTCTGATTAAAAGACAACTGTGAATCTGCTGACCAGAACAGCAACTGCTTTCAGCAACTGGCAGCACACACTCCTACACACACGGCTCGAAAAATGTGTGTGGATGCATGAAAACACGAACGGCCCTGACGTAATTGCGGGTGCATGGCATGTGTTTGTGTGTGGACGTTTTCTTTGTCCTCTCTGGTTTCCTGCTGTGGTATTTATAGATGCCAAAGCTCGGGGCAGAGATTCAGCTATAGAGCCTGGCATTCAGAGCGCTGCGGTCCAGCAACGGGACTCAGGCTGATCCGGGATCTGTTGCTGACTGCAGATGTGCTTAGAACTGCCATTATCAACTACTTGAAGCAGGTCAGGGTTAATAAGATGACCTGCTGTATGAGAGTGAGAGAGAGAGAGAGAGAGAGAGAGAGAGAGAGAGAGAGAGAGAGAGAGAGAGAGAGAGAGAGAGAGAGAGAGAGAGAGAGAGAGAGAGAGAGAGAGAGAGAGAGAGAGAGAGAGAGAGAGAGAGAGAGAGAATAACAAAGAGAAAGAGGAGGATGAGATTGGCATGTTGGTCCTGCCGCCTGCATGCCGGCCACATTCCAGGTCAGCACCCCTCCCTGTGCTGAAGTGGGACGAGTGGAGGAGAGAATAAAATATATGCACATGTGTATAGAAATTATACATCACGTAGATAGACTACTGTTCAAATGTTTGGGGGTGGTACGATTTGTTTTATGTTTTTGAAAGAAGTCTCTTCTGCTCATCAAGACTGCCTTTATTTGATCAAAAATACAGTAAAATAGTAATATTGTGAAATATTTGAACTATTTAAATGAACCGTTTTCTATTTGAATACAGTATTTTTAATTGAATTTATTCCAGTGATCAAAGCTGAATTTTCATCATCATTACTCCAGTCTTCAGTGTCACATGATCCTTCAGAAATCATTCTAATATGATGATTTGATGCTCAAGAAACATTTCTTATTATCAATGTTGGAAAAAGTTCATATTTTTGTGGACACTGATCCATTTTCTTTCAGGATTCTTCAATGAAGATAAAGTTCAAAAGAACAGCTTTTATTGGAAACGTTCGAAATGTTTTTGTAACATTATAAATGTATTTATTGTCACTTTTGATCGGTTTAATTAGTCCTCCTCGCTGTATAAAATGATTCACTTCTTAAAAAACACTTTGATGAAAGCTTGTTTAAGCCACGGATTTATTTTACTTTTTTAAAGATAATTGTGACGTTTAATCTCACAGTTCTGACTTTTTTCTTACAATTGCGAGAAACTCGCAATTGCTTTTTATAAATTCAGAATTGCTAATATAAACTAGCAATTCTGAGGGGAAAAAGTAATCTATCTATCTATCTATCTATCTATCTATCTATCTATCTATCTATCTATCTATCTATCTATCTATCTATCTATCTATCTATCACACTGTGCTAATTTGAGTTTGAGTTGTGTTTATGAATGTTAGCTCTGCTGTATCTTGCCTTTGACCCATTTTCCTCTTATACATGACATCTTTTTTCATCTGTGATGAAACTGGGCTGAACTGATCAGAAGTGGGCCAGCGTACGCACTTCTATGACTTAAACTGACACACCTTGCAGTCCTGGCGTAACCTATTCCTACGGGACATCCACACTTTGTTATCATTGTTTTATACACTACACACTTCGGGTTGGTTTCCTTTAACACAATACAATCATCTCGACAGAACCTCACAGTTAATGATGCATATATAGTGCACATTTCTAGTTTATATAATAAATCATCTTTCTGTTCTTAAAGTTGCTGTTAGGCTAAATTAACATTGGGATTATCTTTAAAAAAAATATGTGCATCCTTATGTGTGCATATTTGTGGCAAAAACATGATCTGGCAGCAGAGGTCGACATGCAGAAAGAAAGTCTTTGAGGTGAAACGCACATCAGGATTCTCCTCACATCAAACACTGGATAGTTTGATATTTGTTATTGTTTGGTTTTGTTGCACTACCAGAGATCCGGTTCGGAATTTGATGTGATTAAACAAACAAAAATATCTAATAATAAGATGAAAATGAATGAAGGGAATTATTTTTATTTTATCCATTTCACAACTCTGCATGAAACCAAAGAGACCCTCTCCTCTCTCATCATAGACTCCTCCAAATCCCCGTAAACACACACACACAAAGATGGCATTGTTGCTCATGGAGTGGGTTCCATGGGGACGCAGGGTTTGTGAGTGGACCCTTGTACTGAAATAATGAGGGAAACCAGGACAATGGCTGTTCAGAGAGAGAGACGCCACAGAAAAACATTATTTTGGCACTGTACGAGGATGCTCGGAGAGAGAGAATTCTTGTTCATTTAATGTGAGCTTCAAAATGTTTATTTATTGCTGTCTTACACTCACTATTCTTTCTTCAAAATAATATTCTGATATTTTACTTTTTAGTGTTTATCCAATACAAATCCCCCCAAAGCTGCAAGGGAGAATTCCTTTAACTCATGTTTAATAATACATTCAAAATTATTCTTTTTTTTTCTCTCCATATTGTTAGTTTCTGATTTTGATCCGAATGGCTTACATGTCATTAAACGATTGCTGGTCTTCAGAATCACTTATTTTTAACACAGCAATATGTAGGCCTACCCTGCAAAGATTTTTGTTTAATTAACACTATTTTATTTTATGGTATTATTTCATTTTACCATTAAGAAATATATAGTCATTAAACCACAGTAAATTGGAATTTTAATTTGAATAATGATTTAGAAAATAACTAATCAAGCAAATTATAAACAATACAGTAGATCAAGAATAATCAATCAGGGATTTAATTTGAGTGATGCATCAATATTCCTTCTGCTCCAAGAACACAATGATCCCAAATCTCTCTCTCTCTCTCTGAGAGATGAATACTGTAATACTGTATTCAAATAGAAAACGGTTAATTTAAATAGTTCAAATATTTCACAATATTACTATTTTACTGTATTTTTGATCAAATAAAGGCAGTCTTGATGAGCAGAAGAGACTTCTTTCAAAAACATAAAACAAATCGTACCACCCCCAAACATTTGAACATTAGTCTATCTACGTGATGTATAATTTCTATACACATGTGCATATATTTTATTCTCTCCTCCACTCGTCCCACTTCAGCACAGGGAGGGGTGCTGACCTGGAATGTGGCCGGCATGCAGGCGGCAGGACCAACATGCCAATCTCATCCTCCTCTTTCTCTTTGTTATTCTCTCTCTCTCTCTCTCTCTCTCTCTCTCTCTCTCTCTCTCTCTCTCTCTCTCTCTCTCTCTCTCTCACACACACAAACTTCACTCTTGTTATTATGACCTAATAATGTTCAATGCATCCATAACTTGATTAACCTGGAGAAATCTTAATTTAGATAAATATATCTGATTATGGTGCTGATGAAGAGACTAATGAACTGACCTCTTGAACATTGTCTCCATGTCTTTGATCTGTTTGCGGGAGAACTCTTTAAACTCGGTGTAGGGGTTGAAGACCTTCATCTGCTTGGGTTTCGTCGTGCCGTCATGGATGTCGAGCCTGCGGTTGAGTTTCTCCGTCAGTTCAGAGGTGGCGTCGCCGTTCACGGCAGCGGGAGCGGGTCTCTCCTTCTCCTCGTCCGCTCCTGTGTGCACCGGTGGCTCGGGTTTGGTGTCCAGCCTGCGCTGCAGCTTCTGTGCGACCTCCTCGGATGACATTGCGGACTGTGAATGTGATGCTCTGCCTCGCACGATCAGCTGTTTCTGAACACTAGTCTCGAGGTGGGAGAGAGGCGGGGCTGCGGAGAGTCTCTTTAAACGTGATCTTTCAAGTCCAATGGGAATAGTGTAAAAAGTGACGCTATAAGCATCTTATAATAATTCTCTGATTGCATTATGTTGCGTTTTTACATAATGTTTTTTTGTAGCTATTGAGGTTCTAATATATCATGTTTATAAGAAGAAGAAAAAAAGTATTGCGTTGGCCGGGAATCGAACCCGGGTCAACTGCTTGGAAGGCAGCTATGCTCACCACTATACCACCAACGCGTGCGGACATAAACAGCTCGCCAGTTCGAACGACTTCTGCGCATCACTGGATCATTTGCTTTTACAGACATGTGACTGAATCTTTCTGTCATATTTATTGTGAATAAACATATATGTGTTAAAATTAAGTGAATAAGAAGTCCACCAATGCAATGACATTTAAGCTATACGAGGATCTCACGTCAGCAACGAACTGACATTTCTGAAGCTTTATAAGCCTAATTGCGACCCCTAGTGGTCACAGTTTTCATTACCGTCTATCGACAGCTGAGCTGAAGTAATTTCTGTTAAAATACAGTCATGCAATAACCATGCAAAATAGCAGAGTAAAGAAACACAAATTGACCATCTTATCTTATACCTCGTCATATACGTCATATATTCACCCTCATGTCCAATATTATTTCACACCCAAATTTGTGATTTCCATGCAGAATAGTACTGGTACAGTAAAAATCACAGTGGGTACAAAGTGATGACCAATAATTTATGTTGGAAATGCCAGCTGGAAACAAGAACCTTTAGGCACTCAGGTATCCACAGAACTTTTCCAACATGATTGGAGTGACTCGCTGGAATTGCCAGCGCCCCGTGGACCTGAAGCAGCCTGAAGTGAAGCTGCCTGCAGTTTTTGATCCTGTGCTGATCATGGAACTGAACAAGCTCTCAGACGTGGTGACAGGCCAGGCCAAGTACCCTGCCTTACTTGTCTCACAGACAGACACCAGAGAAAGGTTTGGACTGCAGTATGTGGAGCATGGTTGTCGTCCTGTCCCCCTGGACTGGGACAAGCACAAGTCAGGTACCTGTTGCAGGGGAGGGAGAGCATCAGTCCTCATAGCCGTCTGCTCTCACTGAGACCTTCCCACCTGATGACACACCTGAGGAGGTGAGGGAGGAACACTTTGCTCAGGTAAACTTGACTGTTGTACTTACAAATATCCCCAATCACTAAAATACAAAATCTAACTATGTAATTACTGATTGTAACCCAAATTAATTTTATGTTCCAGGATGACATCTTTGTTGTGCCTCCTGGCTCACAAACAATGATCCAGCCTGCACAGCCCACCAATGTAAAAGGTGATTCAGCTCACATCTTCATCCCTTAATTATTCCTTATATGAATACTACAGATATTTCAGAGATAAAAGTGAAAATGATTACATTTTTCTGTCCCTTTTCCTCTCTTTTAGATGAGATGACGCCACCACTGCCCTTTGCCCCCTCTCCACGAGCTGCTCGCACAGGTTCTATCAAGGCAGGGGGTCTACTTTTTGCCCTGGACCATTTTCGGTGGACACAGCCCATGAGGGATTCCATTGATGGCCTTCTGGCAAAGTACCATGGGCAGAAAGACCTTCTTACCCAGGTGGATGCAGAGTATGCTGCCCTTGTGCCTACAGGGATCCCTATAGCCTCTTACACCCCACCACAAAACGCGTAATTTTTTCCCCCAAACCACTTCAGCGGAAATCCCGCCCTGCAGCCGATTTCATACATAACATTTACTGTTATATGCATAAGTTATCAGTTAAAATGTTTTTACAATTCGTTCAAAACTCTATGATTATTTGGATGATGGAAAGCACTATTAAACTTTTATAATTGTAAATACTTTGCATTTCACCTGTAAGATTTTTTTTTTGCATATAATATTTCTTAAGCATGTTATTGTTCTTACTTTTTATTAGTTTGTTACTTTTGGCACAATTATAACTACTGTATACATGCACATGGTCAGTAGGATAATCTTTGTTTAACTGAAAAAGTACTGTGTAGCCTGTTCCTTTTTTATTCTTCCTTAGACCTTTGTTCAGTAGGCACTTGATTTCATAGATGATTTCTTTTGGTCATGTTGAGATATTCCCTTTTTTTTTTTTTTTTTTACATTTGTTCATTCAATCCAATTGCCTTGGTTCACATTATTGTGTACTTAACAATATGTACTTCTAAAATGAAAAAGGTATTATTTTATAATTGTATATTTTATAATTGTATATTTTTATTCTTTTGGATGTTTATTTTTTATTAAAACATAATTTAACTGAAAATATCCGGAAAATCCTTGACTGTTATTTTGGACAAGCACAATAAGTTAAAGTATATATCACATTGCACCAATTCATTTATCACAAAAATTAGGGCTGTTATTTTGGACAAGCACAATAGGTTATATATCACATTGCACCAATTCATTTATCAGTAAAATAAGTATCCTTCAGAAACAAGTTTCATATTAGAAAACAAAAGTAAAGTGATTACTGATTCATACTCCATTAAATATATGAATTAGTGAATGTGTCAAAAGGTAAAAAATAACATCTTCATTTTCACCTCAGCTGGGATTCGAACCAACGTTTCAGGGGGGAATAATATTGATAAAACCTGGGACACGCCCTCAAATTTTTCTCGCTTCTGATTGGCTAGTCACCGATCTACAGGTATACATGCCTGGCCATCGACAGCTGAGCTGCAGTCATTTCTGTTAAAATACAGACATGCAATAAACATGCAAAATAGCAGAGTAAAGAAACACAAATTAACCATCTTATCTTACCATGTCATATATTCACCCTCATGTCCAATCTTATTTCAGACCCAAATTTGTGATTTCCATGCAGAACAGTACAGATACAGTACTTTTTCTTTAAATAATAAAAATCACAGTGGGTACAAATTGATGAACAATAATTTATGTTGGAAATGCCAGCTGGAAACAAGTATCTTTTTCTAGATTGTATTTGGCAATGTAGTCTGGTCAAACCTTTTTGGATACAAGTGTTGTTCGGGCAAAAATTTGGAACAGCTTCTGATCACAGTGGAAATTGAATTGATAGTCCTAAAAAAGTGGTTTGATTTGGTGATCATAGACTTTCATTGGATAAGTAAAACAAAGTTCATAATATTTAGCAATCGGCAAAGTAATAACAAAGCTAAAATAGGATTAATAATGACTAAAAATATAACTAAAAATAAATGTCTGGGTGTTAAAGCTAATAGATCATGAATATGCTGGAAATCACATTTAAATAATGTTAAAGCAAAAATGTCTAAATCCAATACATTATAGAAACAAATAGAACAAAACATATTTCGAATAAAAACTCATTAAATCGGCTAGATTGTATTGCTCACTGTTAATGTGTTGATGTGTGGGGTAATTTACTTACAAATATTCAGAGGCTGTTCGAGAAAGTTAGTATAAACTGCTATAAGTATATGTTAAAAAATAAGGACAATAACTTATACAAAAATTATAACCTATGAATAGTTGTGACAAGAAATTCAAAATGTGTAGCTCACTTTGTAAATTCAAGAAAATTTTTAATTATTAGAAATATACTAAGACTATTTTCTTTTAAAAAAACAACAACAACAACTACATTTGTGCATTTTGGGAGAGCGAGGGTGTATTGTATCATTATGTATTACTTATTTATTATATATATTACACCATCCACAGTGATATAAAATACGACATTTAGTCTATATGTGATCTTACTAGTAGAAGTCGAAAAACAAGACATTTCTCCTTTAAGACAAAACGAAAGTAAAAGTGCCACACGGACGGACTGCGTGTGCCTTTCTTGACGCATCTTCAAATTTAACATTTATTTTTGTACTCTGTCGTCTATTTTTTTGCCTGATCAGGTCCCTTACGTGTCTAATACTATCAGCTTACCAAGGATTGGTTTGTATTGGATTGTTTTTCGATTTAGGCTATTCAACATTTTTCGACGAGACAGCTCTGAGTCGACAACAACAATGATTTTCCATTGCTGAATGATCGCATACTTCTATATGAGCAAAGTAGATTAAGCATGGTAAGTGTGCTTTACTCTGACTTTTTATCTTATTTATTTTTACCTGAGGCAAATTAATTATACTAGTTATGAGAAAGTAAGGTGTGATTATTGTTAGGTCTTGTGTAACGTGACGTCATTTGGAAACTTGATATGCTTCGACACTTGCTTTCCCCAAATCCATTATTTTGGGAGTTTTCAGAGAGCAATATGTTTTTAGATAATATTTGTGTGGATACAATTTTATTTGTAATCTTTTCTTTCAATTGTGCCTAGGCTAAATTAATTGTTTGTAGTTGACAGCCTAGTAGGCCCAACGTAGCCTAGCCTACTTCCTTGTTTTTACGTAACCTTATTTACAAACCCAGTTTTGCAGTTTAAGTTTTGGCTTTCTGTAGGCTATACTCTGTGGTAAAAAACTACGTATGCACTGGATAGCTAAATAAATATATAAGATTATATATAAGATAGAAGTTTTTAAAATTGATTGTTTCTCTAAAATTACATCGTCTGGTAAACTGTAAACTACCTTTTTTTGTAACTTACAGGTCGTAACCTATGCTTTGAAATTGCAATTCACTTTGAGTTTTACAGTAGGCCTACGTGTTTACATATAGGCTACAACAGTTCTGTTCACACTTCACAGTATTTTTCCTGGATTTTTTAACCTTTCCCAGCCGCCGTTTCAACGTTGAACATGATGTTAAAACTGTTTCTTCTTTCAATATGGGTGAATAAAGGTTGTTAGCCTATATGTCGACGTTGAACAAATTGAATCAACGTTGCTATCGTGACGTTGTTTACCTTTCAACATGAGAGAATACAATTGTAGGCTACATTCAATTACAACCTAGTTTGCATTTGGAACATGAGTTATGACAATGCTAACTGAATTAATGATTAACTGTACATACTGTAGCCTACACAAAAAACTGGCTTAATTACAAACACATTTAATAAAGAGTTAACACACCGTAAAACAAGTTTTATGTTGGAAAACACACACATACACACACACAAAAAAGTAAAAAAAATACGTTCTACATCTCAAAATTTAACTTGCAAACCTGTAGAAGTACAATTACAACCGTATAGTTGTTCAATTACAGTAAACCTTAAATAATATACAACATTTAATATTTAAAATGTACAGTAACAGTAGAAAAGGTTTTTAGATTCTCAATAAATTGCGACAGCATGGGACTCTGCTGCATTGCTCCAGCAGAGTCCCAGCTCGAGGTCCTTTCCGATGCCATCGCTTCCTCTCGCTCCCTCTTTCACTTCTCGTCTGCTCTCTGTACGATCCTGTATAAATAAAAGCGAAAACTGAATACAAAATTACAGTTGAGTTGCAAACAAAGTATACAACACTATCCATTCTAAAACACATATTTTATGTAGCCTATTCAGATGTAAATTTACAATTTCAACCATTTATTCACAAGCAGTTCTCCAAAGACCTAAGGTGGATTTTTTTTTTTTTTTTATAATATTACTCCATGTGTAAGTTACGGTTACTATGTAAAAGTAACTTTAAAGTATTAAAGATGAAGGTCATGATTTCATCTTTGAAACAGACGAAGAAATCAACAAATTGGCGTTGAGCTGAGAGGGTTGTGGTCTGTTGTTCTTTAGCTTATATCTTTCAATGCAGGTTTATATTGTTTCAACAATTTTCACTTGACCCCTGTGGGGCTCCGTATATTTCTGAAAATATTTGTGGAGAAACATTACACTGTTTTAATTCAGAATCGTTAATTAAATGTAGTTTTTATTAAATTGAGTAAAATAAAATTATATCACAAAAGGTCAATGGATCCATACCAAAAGTGATAGTGCAATGTAGAAGCTAAAGAAAAATCCTCCACCAAATTGCCAGTAATCAGCCTGGATCCTTGGTGAATATGGAGAAGAAACAAAAAATGATTCACTGTAAAAGCCCTAAAAAAGCAGGATTCTTTTTACCATTCCATAAACAATCTTAAAATGTATTTAAATTCTACAAACATTTTGCCATTATAACACGTTCACACAACATTAACAGAGTACTGTCATCTTCGAGACTGTTAGTTATGACATGATGCCGGAAACTGAAGTCTCCCCGGGAGCCGCCATTAGCTAGCAAGCCTTCACCTGCTGTTAGCATTTCATTGACTCCCATTCATTTTGGCGTCACTTTAATAGCGAATAACTTTACATCTGAGGTCTTTAAAGACTCCATTTGTCCATTGTTTATTTCTAAAGAAACACGACAATGTATAAAAGGCTCCATTACCTTGTGTCTTACGTTATGGCCCCGTAGAAGCAGTTTTTATAAAAATAGGCTAACGATTGCATCATAACACGCGACTCTCTGTCGCACAGTAGAGAAATTACCGTATAGACAGAAGAAGACGCTCGCGGGCAATCGGGGGGACGTGGAAGCATACCGTCCGATAAAGTCAAGGGAGAAGCCCATAGAGAGTCATAAAGTTGATCCTGCTGCTGCTCATGGACAGCTCCTACTCACGCTCTCAGTCTCTGCAAGATTCGGAAGGGAATTATTCATATTTATCTTGGCACAGATACTAGAAGACTTACAACTGTCAGACTGGTTGCTCATGTCACATCCATAGACATATACACTAGACGTCACCTTGGGGTTCTAAGCATGCGTCAAAACCACCGCCATCTGGGAACAGGGGTCTTGTCATAGGAAGTAGCTAGGTAATGCTGCTATCTCTGCCTTTACTTCGAATTAATTGATGGTGGCGGACTTTTGTGCTGTGTATGATGTTCACACGAATGAAATCTGAACTAGGAAGATTAGAAAATATTTATATTTTTTTTTTTTCTGGAATCAATGATAAATAGTAAATACATGTCTGACCGTTGGAACAAACCAAAAAAAAAGAGAAAATCGCATTCATGATGATTTATGGTGATTTTATTTCCGTTAGACCTTTGTATACATTGACGTCGCTGATGCATTAAAGTGGAGGGGCTCCCCTGTTCCAAGATGGCGGCTCTATTGACGCATTCGTTCTAATGAACTGCCGTAGCCAAGGCGATATCTAGTGCAGTGGTTCTCAAAGTGGGGTCCGCGGACCCCTGGTGGTCCGTGAACTATAGCCAGGGGGTCCGCGAAATAATTTATAACAGCCTACCGTTTTTCCCGACTATAAGTCATGTTTTCTTTAGCATCTGAAAACTTGCTATTTATTCCAAAGTGACTTATATAATGCATTTAATGTCAAATAATATTTTTTTTTGATTTTTTAATCGATTTTTGGGCACGTGCGCCAGAAAGGAGACAGAGACGGCAGAACGCGCATCCTGTTGTGTTCTTTATTTTTAAAAGGCATGACATTTTGTAGTCATTTTTAATGTATACACAAATAAAAAATAGACACTTTGCCGTTTTGAATGATGTACTCTTATCTGTATGACCATAAATAAGAGTATTCCTTTGTTTCCACTGCTGAGGAAAAATCCAAGTGTTCGCGCCGGCGTCTCGTGTGCGCGCACAATATGTCAGTTCTAGCACTGCTAATTTGACATCAAAACCTCTTCATTATCAAAATAAAATACTCACCGAACTTATAAAAAGTTCTACTTAATTTAATTTGTCTGTTGTACACTATGAAGGCAGTGACGGTCAATCATATACTGTCGACTTGCTGTTGTTCCAATCTCATTTCTCCGCATGTGAAGATGCTGATACGTGTAGGCCTAGGCCTATATTGGGACTGAAGCATGAAGCTTTCTTTACATAAATAGTTAAGCATCCAAATGTTAGGCTACATCGCAAATATGGAAACTTTGGACCGAATGAGAGATGCACGAGCCCAACGTCTGCAGTTTCAGTTTCGATTCAACTTAATTCGTTTAGACTTGATGTTTTAAATAAATGTTGTCTGTATAGTATTATTATTATTATTTGTATTATTATCTATTAATAGTATAATTTTTCATTCTCGTTTTGTTCTGAATACCATTAATTTAAGGATTTGCTGTGGAGTGAGGGGAAGTAGGCCTACTACGCCTCAAGAGCGCAACAAAGTATTACACACTCAGGTGCAACTTATTTTCTGGAAAATACAGTAAATTATAAATTTGTGCATAGGGACAGGGTCGTATACCCACAATTGAGGTCCCTGAGGTCCGGGCCTCTGTAATTTTTCTATGTGTATAATGAAAGTTGTGAAATAATTGCCTAATATTAACTCTAATTTGGTGCTGCAAGGATATTAAACATCGCGATGATAACTGAGCTTCTCATCTGAGCGGTTTCAGCAGACTAACAGCGCTCGTCAATGTCAAAATGTTTGAGTCGGAGATTAAATCAAAGTAGGCGGGTTTATGTTCACAGAAGCTGCAAGCCGAGCGCGAATTTCCGCATGACGCTTCAGTTATTCGGTCATAAAGTGCGAGATAAGATGTAAATCGCTAAACTAAACAGCTGTTTTAGATAGAAGTTTTAAACGAACGACAGAAACAATCAGTTTGCAAAGACAAAGTATCAACCGGGAAAGGAAATATAGGGGATAGCGGGGCACAACGTAAATCCCAGTTGTGCAAGTGGGTCATGTTGTCACACTGCGTTACAATGAATATGTTTTGAACTATGTTGTAATATATAGCTGTGTGTTCGTTGTCAAACTCAAAAATTAGTTTATTTTTAATTATTTTAAAATGCCATTATTTTATATGAAAAAGTTCATTGTATTTTATTGAGAAAATATTTTTGTTTGTCTTGTATATTTGTTTGATTAGATCAGATAACATTTTAATCTGTCATATGGTCATGTTACCATGTGCCCCACCTATGGGACATGTTGTCACATTGCACTTCCATTCTTTCTGGGTATATCAAGAATAAAAGTAAAATTTTTGGCCTTAAAAACACCTTAAAATGCACGTGTAGATCAAGAAAATCTAAAATTCCTCGGGGGGGGGGCATGCCCCCCAACCCCCCTAGCAAGATCACTTTTGGGACCTCAGTATGCTATTTAGAAAACCCTGCATATGACCCTGGGTGGAGACTATTTGTGTCAAAATATTTAATTAACCGCTCCCACATTAACTTTAGGCTCAGTCACTTTTATAAATATGAGGGGGTCCTTGGAAATGTTTTTCCCCTGTAAGGGGTCCCTGGCTCCAAAATGTTTGAGAACCCCTGATCTAGTGTATATATCTATGATGTCACATCTACGTCGTCAAGCTCAGTTTGAGCCTGCGCAGTTCGCTTGGCCATCAGGAAGTGAGTGCTTCTAATTGACTTCACTTTTCTCTGTTGAAGTCAATGGGGTCGCTGCGTCCATTTCTTTAACTGTCTATGGTAATAATCAATGCAAGCAGCAGCTGGTCACCTCACACCGACTCAAACAGTAACGGTTTTTCAAACTTAAAATAGGCGCGCACATTGTCATTACCCAGTTTCCTGGAAGACAGAAAGATTAACCAATCATGATCAAAGTAAAACGGTGAAACAACCAATAACAATAGTTTCAGCATGGTAACGTAGCGAAATGTGTACAGTGTATTTAGTTTTATTTGCAGTCTATATGATTCAATTCATTGGTCAAATGGTGTTTTCATGACAGTGTATAAATGGAAATGTAATAATGCATGGTAAACTGTTAGGCAAGCACACACAATTGTAAATCCACACAAAATGACGTAAGGCAAAATGTTTCTGCTGCACTGCTCTCTTGAGGTTGAAATTATTGTAGAGTTGTCAATAATGATAGTAATTATATTTTAACATATCCATTGAAAGGCTGTATTATGATCAAAATATAGTTAAATGCTAATAATGATCATAATAATACTTTAAAAGGCAGATATTTCTGTTGTATGTTGTTGAAAATTTCAACGTTGATTTAGAAGTGTTTTTGTTAACCTTTTTCAACCATTTAGCATTAAATGTTATATCAACGTTGAAACAACAACTGACATTATTTCAACGTTGAAGGTCGGTCATGTGCTGGCTGAGTTTTGTGTTTATTTTACAAATAGCCACTTGTTTCGTGTTTGTGTCTCATTTATTAAAATAACTGTTTGTTACCATTGTGTGATGTGTACAACCACCATTATTACATTAGAATAATCTCTTTTCTTTTTCTGTGTATCATAGGGTGAAACCAGATAACCCCCCCCCCCCCCCCAGCACTGCAATGTATGTCACTAACAAGCAATCAGACTATGGATCGATCGATTGTGTTCAAAATGGAACCAGTAGATGGATGGAAGAGAAGTATGACAATTTAGATGCATATGTAGTGTGCTACTTGTTTAATAAATTTAATAAAATAATTTGTCAAGTCTCATCTAGCATGTAGATTGTTAAACCTGTTTTCTCTCCCATCCTGAAAGTTTGAGATCAAATGACACAACAACTCTATAGACCCATCATACTCTGGCCTTACCTAAGCATTATTGTCTTAAATACTGAGTTTTAAAGCTACACTATGTAAGTTTGGGCTCTGACAGTTGAACATTGTTTTGGTAATTATGTGAGTTGGACTTTAGCAGCACTGCAAATTCTGTGGATGTATCTGAAGGTTTAAGGCGTGCCTGTGTTGCAAACCCTCTCCAAAGAAAAATTAAAAGGATGAATATGCTCACACCTTCCACCTACAGTAGCCAGTAAGCATGTTTTGTTGCAAAATTTGTGAAATATGTCCCGAGATCTCTAATATATAAATTATTATTATAGGCTTACCAATAGTGGCTGGAGGTAAGGCAAAAACACAGTTTGGAATTAAGCAGATTGTTGTTCTAACAAAACAAAATGTACATGGTGTAGCTTTAAATGCTAGAAAAATGCTAGCTTATGAATAGATGTTTTTTACTATAGAGGATTTGTAGAACCTTCAATTACAATAATATTTATGTTTTCAATTTGCTTTTATCGGACTTAACATATTATTAATTCAAATTTTACAAGACACTTTTGTCTCCATGTACCAAAGGGCGAGACCAGATGAAGCAGCATCTCCAGCACTCTCACTCCTTTCTATGAAAAGTGATCAGTCAATGGATCGGCCAATTGTGTTCAGAAATGCAGCAGAAAGTTATATGGGAGAGAAGTATGAGAATTTACATTGTCAGGAGGTTTAAAATATTGTGCTTAATGTATAATAAAGAAAACTTTATTATCTACAAAACTGCTTGTTTGGCATTGGGTATCTCTTGTGTAATGTTAATCTGGTTTTATTTCATCTTCTGCTTTCTATGCAGTTAGAATTTTTAATAATTAATAATAATCTCTCATTATTCTCATTATTATTACAGCCGGAACAAACTTTGTTTCAATATTTTCCTGTTATCATTGTAAAGGTGCTTTGAATCAATCTGTATTGTAAAAAACGCTATATAAATAAAGGTGACTTGACTTGTCTTCTCCATGTACCAAAGGGCGAGACCAGATGAAGCTGCATCTCCAGCACTCTCACTCCTGTCTGTAAAGAGTCATCAGTCAATGGATAGACCTATTGTGTTCAACAATGGAGCGCAAAGTTATATGGGAGAGAAGTATGAGGACCACATGTACCACAGGGCGAGACCAGATGAAGCCGCATCTCCAGCACTCTCACTCCTTTCTATTAAAAGTGATCAGTCAATGGATCGACCAATTGTGTTCAGAAATGGAGCAGAAAGTTACTTTGGGTATGAAAAGTATGTTTATTTATATGTTTAAATGGTGTGTTTGTTGCATAATAAAGACAAAACAAACAAACAATTTATTAGACTTACAATTATATTTTTCTTGAATATGTTGTATATCTCTTTTACATTATTATACTTGAATTTTCTGTGTCATCCTGACAGTCTAAGACCAGATGAAGCAGCATCTCCTGTAACTTCATACTTCTCTTTAAAAAGCAACCAATCAATGGATCGACCAATCGTATTCAAAGACAGAACTCAGCATTATCACACTGAACGGTATGATTTTTATGAATTTGTATTCTTTGATTAGATATGCATGTAATTGTAGTGTGGCTGCAATATAAAAATTCAGTAGTCGCTACCAATACCAGTAAAATTTAAATGATTCTCTACAAATTTAATAAAATAAATAAATAGTGTAATCAGCTCCAACTCACCTGCCTAGAAGTTTCTATTAATTTTTTAGACCTTGATCACCTGGCTCATCTATGTTTTTTTAGGGTTAAAGCTAAACTCTGCAGGGCTGTGGCCCTCCAGGAACTGAGGCTGTGTTTGAAATCGCCCCCTAAACCCTTATTCACTATTCCCTACATTAGTCCACTAATATAGTCCCCTTGAAGGAGTGAATGAAAACGAGTGAGTGAATTCAGACACTGAGCGCGCCGGAAGGGCAGCTGCTTTTGCATAGTTTGTGCTTGCTGTTTAATAATCATTTTAAACTTAGAAAACTGGCAGCTTCAGTAGTAAGATGAAAATATAGATATTTGTATTTAACTCTGTCATGTAAACTAGCATGCATAAGCCTTAATTAAACAATTTAATAATCAAGTAAAAAGGGATGTATACCTGTATCATGTTACGCTGTAGCCACATTGGATCAGTGGTTTGGAAAATGAATGGATGGATGATTCAGCTGTGGGCACCACTATGGTTTCAGACACCACGACAAATGGCTGTCCCCTTAAATAGATAAACATCATAACTATTTAGAATGAAGGTGTATCAATGCGCATTTCCCACCAGTCCTGTGTAAACAAGTAGCATCTACCTGCAATACCGGACGCTGCATTTTCAGGAACGCATTTCTAGGACCCTAGTTTTTTTAGTGACTGTGCCACCTACGGAATTAGAGGACCAGTGGCTGCACGTTTTTCTGAAAGATGGACAGCAATCAGAGTGTGAGTATCAAATGTGAATCAATTAGTATTTTTTTTTAACATTAAAAACATAACAGAGCACATAGTCAGACATAACAGAACATTTTAACATAACAGAACACTCATGCACGGAGGTAGGGCTGATTTAGGGCTCATCTAAGAGTTGCCTGCCGCCACCAACCTCGCTCTACGAGTGACGAAGTTGACCGCACGCTCCCTGGGTCAGGTGATGTCCACATGCGTGGTTAGACTTCTCTGGCTTAACCTGGTTGATATGTGCCAGGCTGAGCGAACCCGCTTCCTCAACTCCCCCATATCCCAGGCTGGCCTCTTCGGCGGCGCGGTCAAGCACTCTGCCCAACAGTTCTCGGCCGCCCAGAAGCAGACTGAGGTTACCAAACATGTTCTGACCCCGCGGCCACAAACTGCTTCCACCCAGCCACCGGCTCAGATGCCTCAGTCTGCTTGCCACCAAACGCAACCTCCTGTGACTTCCACCCCCAAGGCACGCCCCGAGTACCAGTTACTCCGGCCTGCCGTCAGGTCTTCACCCCGTGGACGAACCTCAGCTTTCTACGGGCCAGAGTTCCCTTAGAACGAGTTTCCAGGCATGTTGTTGTCTCAACAGATGCCTCCACCACGGGCTGGGGTGCCATGTGCAATGGACATGCTGCCACGGGCTCCTTGACAGGACCCCAGCGCTTATGGCATGTCAATTGCCTCAGTTGCTGGCTGTACGTCTTGCTCTGCACCGCTTCCATGCGTTGCTCAAGAACCAGCACGTACTAGGCCGATCAGACAATACCGCGACAGTAGCGTACATCAACGGACAAGGTGGTCTCTGGCTCCTCTTATGGAGTCAGAAGCATCTGAGGTCGCTTCGAGTCATTTATATCTCGGGAGACCTGAACTGTGCAGCCCACGAGCTCTCACAGCTTCAGCCTCTTCCTGGAGAATGGAGACTCCATCCCCAGTCGGTTCAGCTGATTTGGGATCAGTTCGGGGACGCGCAGGTAGACCTATTTGCCTCCCACAACTCGTCCCATTGCGACCTGTTTTACTCCCTGACGAGGGCACGCTCGGCACAGACGCACTGCCGCACAGCAAGCCGCGGGGCCTCCGCAAGTATGCGTTTCCCCCAGTGAGCCTTCTTGCACAGACCCTCTGCAAGATCAGGGAGGACGAGGAGCAGGTCATATTGGTTGCGCCTCATTGGCCCAGCCGGACCTGGTTCTCCGAACTTGTACTCCTCCCGACAGCACCTCCCTGGCCAATTCCTCTGAGGAAGGACCCATTCTCAGAGACAGGGCACCCTCGTCCCGATCTTTGGAACCTCCACGTGTGGCTCCTGGATGGGACGAGGCAGGTTTGAGTACCCTACCACCAGCGGTGGTGGCTACCATCACTTCCGCTAGAGCATCGTCCATGAGACATGCCTACGCGTTGGAGTGAAACCTCTTCGTCAACTGGTGCTCTTCTCACCGAGAAGACCCCAGAAAATGCCCGATAAGTGTCGTGCTTTTCTTCCTGCAAGATGGGTTGGAGCGAAGGCTGTCGCCCACCACCCTGAAGGTGTATGTTGCCGCACATCACAACGCCAGAGTTATGCCACCGGCAGCTTTCGCGTTGGCCAGGTGCCGCCATGTGCATGGTTCCCCTCTGGGTGACCCCCACATGTGTATTTCCACTGTAAGCCCCCCCCCCCCCCCCCTGGGGCTGAAACATTCCACCCTGCGGGCTGGACACCCCAGTGTTTCCATATGCAGCCCCTCATGTGTATTCTGTAAGTCATATGATTCCATCATTCCTTGTTTATTTTACTTGATGAGTTATTCTATTATGCTAATTAGTCACTATAATTACGCAACATTCAGCTTTTAGCAATCAGGTTTAGTTGCAAGAAAGAAAGTAGTAATTGGATGATTCTGGCTTGGTTGCAGGGTTGTGGTCTGTTGTTCTTTAGCTTATATCTTTCAATGCAGGTTTATATTGTTTCAACAATTTTCACTTGACCCCTGTGGGGCTCCGTATATTTCTGAAAATATTTGTGGAGAAACATTACACTGTTTTAATTCAGAATCATTAATTAAATGTAGTTTTTATTAAATTGAGTAAAATAAAATTATTCCAAAATTAACAAACTTTGTTTCAATATTTTCCTGTTATTATTGTAAAGGTGCTTTGAATCAATCTGTATTGTAAAAAACGCTATATAAATAAAGGTGACTTGACTTGTCTTCTCCATGTACCAAAGGGCGAGACCAGATGAAGCTGCATCTCCAGCACTCTCACTCCTGTCTGTAAAGAGTCATCAGTCAATGGATAGACCTATTGTGTTCAACAATGGAGCGCAAAGTTATATGGGAGAGAAGTATGAGGACCACATGTACCACAGGGCGAGACCAGATGAAGCCGCATCTCCAGCACTCTCACTCCTTTCTATTAAAAGTGATCAGTCAATGGATCGACCAATTGTGTTCAGAAATGCAGCAGAAAGTTACTTTGGGTATGAAAAGTATGTTTATTTATATGTTTAAATGGTGTGTTTGTTGCATAATAAAGACAAAACAAACAAACAATTTATTAGACTTACAATTATATTTTTCTTGAATATGTTGTATATCTCTTTTACATTATTATACTTGAATTTTCTGTGTCATCCTGACAGTCTAAGACCAGATGAAGCAGCATCTCCTGTAACTTCATACTTCTCTTTAAAAAGCAACCAATCAATGGATCGACCAATCGTATTCAAAGACAGAACTCAGCATTATCACACTGAACGGTATGATTTTTATGAATTTGTATTCTTTGATTAGATATGCATGTAATTGTAGTGTGGCTGCAATATAAAAATTCAGTAGTCGCTACCAATACCAGTAAAATTTAAATGATTCTCTAAAAAATTTTAATAAAATAAATAAATAGTGTAATCAGCTCCAACTCACCTGCCTAGAAGTTTCTATTAATCTTTTAGACCTTGATCACCTGGCTCATCTATGTTTTTTTAGGGTTAAAGCTAAACTCTGCAGGGCTGTGGCCCTCCAGGAACTGAGGCTGTGTTTGAAATCGCCCCCTAAACCCTTATTCACTATTCCCTACATTAGTCCACTAATATAGTCCCCTTGAAGGAGTGAATGAAAACGAGTGAGTGAATTCAGACACTGAGCGCGCCGGAAGGGCAGCTGCTTTTGCATAGTTTGTGCTTGCTGTTTAATAATCATTTTAAACTTAGAAAACTGGCAGCTTCAGTAGTAAGATGAAAATATAGATATTTGTATTTAACTCTGTCATGTAAACTAGCATGCATAAGCCTTAATTAAACAATTTAATAATCAAGTAAAAAGGGATGTATACCTGTATCATGTTACGCTGTAGCCACATTGGATCAGTGGTTTGGAAAATGAATGGATGGATGATTCAGCTGTGGGCACCACTATGGTTTCAGACACCACGACAAATGGCTGTCCCCTTAAATAGATAAACATCATAACTATTTAGAATGAAGGTGTATCAATGCGCATTTCCCACCAGTCCTGTGTAAACAAGTAGCATCTACCTGCAATACCGGACGCTGCATTTTCAGGAACGCATTTCTAGGACCCTAGTTTTTTTAGTGACTGTGCCACCTACGGAATTAGAGGACCAGTGGCTGCACGTTTTTCTGAAAGATGGACAGCAATCAGAGTGTGAGTATCAAATGTGAATCAATTAGTATTTTTTTTTAACATTAAAAACATAACAGAGCACATAGTCAGACATAACAGAACATTTTAACATAACAGAACACTCATGCACGGGGGTAGGGCTGATTTAGGGCTCATCTAAGAGTTGCCTGCCGCCACTCTACGAGTGACGAAGTTGACCGCACGCTCCCTGGGTCAGGTGATGTCCACATGCGTGGTTAGACTTCTCTGGCTTAACCTGGTTGATATGTGCCAGGCTGAGCGAACCCGCTTCCTCAACTCCCCCATATCCCAGGCTGGCCTCTTCGGCGGCGCGGTCAAGCACTCTGCCCAACAGTTCTCGGCCGCCCAGAAGCAGACTGAGGTTACCAAACATGTTCTGACCCCGCGGCCACAAACTGCTTCCACCCAGCCACCGGCTCAGATGCCTCAGTCTGCTTGCCACCAAACGCAACCTCCTGTGACTTCCACCCCCAAGGCACGCCCCGAGTACCAGTTACTCCGGCCTGCCGTCAGGTCTTCACCCCGTGGACGAACCTCAGCTTTCTACGGGCCAGAGTTCCCTTAGAACGAGTTTCCAGGCATGTTGTTGTCTCAACAGATGCCTCCACCACGGGCTGGGGTGCCATGTGCAATGGACATGCTGCCACGGGCTCCTTGACAGGACCCCAGCGCTTATGGCATGTCAATTGCCTCAGTTGCTGGCTGTACGTCTTGCTCTGCACCGCTTCCATGCGTTGCTCAAGAACCAGCACGTACTAGGCCGATCAGACAATACCGCGACAGTAGCGTACATCAACGGACAAGGTGGTCTCTGGCTCCTCTTATGGAGTCAGAAGCATCTGAGGTCGCTTCGAGTCATTTATATCTCGGGAGACCTGAACTGTGCAGCCCACGAGCTCTCACAGCTTCAGCCTCTTCCTGGAGAATGGAGACTCCATCCCCAGTCGGTTCAGCTGATTTGGGATCAGTTCGGGGACGCGCAGGTAGACCTATTTGCCTCCCACAACTCGTCCCATTGCGACCTGTTTTACTCCCTGACGAGGGCACGCTCGGCACAGACGCACTGCCGCACAGCAAGCCGCGGGGCCTCCGCAAGTATGCGTTTCCCCCAGTGAGCCTTCTTGCACAGACCCTCTGCAAGATCAGGGAGGACGAGGAGCAGGTCATATTGGTTGCGCCTCATTGGCCCAGCCGGACCTGGTTCTCCGAACTTGTACTCCTCCCGACAGCACCTCCCTGGCCAATTCCTCTGAGGAAGGACCCATTCTCAGAGACAGGGCACCCTCGTCCGATCTTTGGAACCTCCACGTGTGGCTCCTGGATGGGACGAGGCAGGTTTGAGTACCCTACCACCAGCGGTGGTGGCTACCATCACTTCCGCTAGAGCATCGTCCATGAGACATGCCTACGCGTTGGAGTGAAACCTCTTCGTCAACTGGTGCTCTTCTCACCGAGAAGACCCCAGAAAATGCCCGATAAGTGTTGTGCTTTTCTTCCTGCAAGATGGGTTGGAGCGAAGGCTGTCGCCCACCACCCTGAAGGTGTATGTTGCCGCACATCACAACGCCAGAGTTATGCCACCGGCAGCTTTCGCGTTGGCCAGGTGCCGCCATGTGCATGGTTCCCCTCTGGGTGACCCCCACATGTGTATTTCCACTGTAAGCCCCCCCCCCCCCCCCCTGGGGTTGAAACATTCCACCCTGCGGGCTGGACACCCCAGTGTTTCCATATGCAGCCCCTCATGTGTATTCTGTAAGTCATATGATTCCATCATTCCTTGTTTATTTTACTTGATGAGTTATTCTATTATGCTAATTAGTCACTATAATTACGCAACATTCAGCTTTTAGCAATCAGGTTTAGTTGCAAGAAAGAAAGTAGTAATTGGATGATTCTGGCTTGGTTGCACATTTTTACGTCCTCCAAAACTAGGGTCCTAGAAATGCGGTCATAAAACTGCGGTCCTGAAAATGCGGCCTCCGGGATTGCAGACAGATAAAATTGTTCATTCTTGCTGAATGAGATACCTGTCTGGGATACAACGCCCTGTTATACTGTGTTTATGTATGATATTGATGGTTTATATAGCTTTGGCGTCATAATGATGGTATTAAGGGGCGGTGCATTTCACACCTAGGCCTTCAGTGGTGTCCTACCTGAATGAATCCACCTCTTAATACCATCATGTGTGTGTGTATATTATAAATATATATATATATATATATATATATATATATATATATATATATACATTTTTATATAATATATACATTTTTATATAATATATATACACTCACCGGCCACTTTATTAGGTACACCTGTCCAACTGCTCGTTAACACTTAATTTCTAAGCAGCCAATCACATGGCGGCAACTCAGTGCATTTAGGCATGTAGACATGGTCAAGACAATCTCCTGCAGTTCAAACCGAGCATCAGTATGGGGAAGAAAGGTGATTTGAGTGACTTTGAACGTGGCATGATTGTTGGTGCCAGAAGGGCTGGTCTGAGTATTTCAGAAACTGCTAATCTACTGGGATTTTCACGCACAACCATCTCTAGGGTTTACAGAGAATGGTCCGAAAAAGAAAAAACATCCAGTGAGCGGCAGTTCTGTGGGCGGAAATGCCTTGTTGATGCCAGAGGTCAGAGGAGAATGGCCAGACTGGTTCGAGCTGATAGAAGGGCAACAGTGACTGAAATAACCACTCGTTACAACCGAGGTATGCAGCAAAGCATTTGTGAAGCCACAACACGCACAACCTTGAGGCGGATGGGCTACAACAGCAGAAGACTCCACCGGGTACCACTCATCTCCACTACAAATAGGAAAAAGAGGCTACAATTTGCAAGAGCTCACCAAAATTGAACAGTTGAAGACTGGAAAAATGTTGCCTGGTCTGATGAGTCTCGATTTCTGTTGAGACATTCAGATGTTAGAGTCAGAATTTGGCGTAAACAGAATGAGAACATGGAACCATCATGCCTTGTTACCACTGTGCAGGCTGGTGGTGGTGGTGTAATGGTGTGGGGGATGTTTTCCTGGCACACTTTAGGCCCCTTAGTGCCAATTGGGCATCGTTTAAATGCCACGGCCTACCTGAGCATTGTTTCTGACCATGTCCATCCCTTTATGGCCACCATGTACCCATCCTCTGATGGCTACTTCCACCATGTCACAAAGCTCTAATCATTTCAAATTGGTTTCTTGAACATGACAATGAGTTCACTGTACTAAAATGGCCTCCACAGTCACCAGATCTCAACCCAATAGAGCATCTTTGGGATGTGGTGGAACGGGAGATTCGCATCATGGATGTGCAGCCGACAAATCTGCGGCAACTGTGTGATGCCATCATGTCAATATGGACCAAACTCCCTGAGGAATGCTTCCAGCACCTTGTTGAATCTATGCCACGAAGAATTGAGGCAGTTCTGAAGGCAAAAGGGGGTCCAACCCGTTACTAGCATGGGGTACCTAATAAAGTGGCCGGTGAGTGTATATATTATTGTTTCCAGTCTGTTAGAATATCTAACGCTAAGCAAGGAAGCAATCTCAATCATGTCTGCAAAGAGTGATCCGTCAATGGATTACAAGGATAGAAGGTATGAGTTTCTATTTGATAGTGTGTGTGTGTGTGTGTGTGTGTGTGTGTGTGTGTATGTGTGTGTGTACAGTATCAGTGGCTTGCAGTGATGTTCTGCATGCGGAGAATGAGGGGAATGAGGCAAAGTCATCAACGTTTTTCTTTTTGTTGTTTAAATATATATATATATATATATATATATATATATATATATATATATATATATATATATATATATATATATATATATATATATATATATATATATAAAATGTAAATTCATCATCTCCCAGTTACACTTAATGTTTTCACATTTCCTGGTTAAAAAAACATTACATCATAAAAAAGGAACCAAATACAATTTTACTTTGTATTCATTAACTATGTAATTAATGTTCTTTTTATTAAAACCATAATGTCAAGTTTGATTTTGGCATGACATAAAGTAGTGATATCTAAGTGGCTGTGTTGTTTACTTTTTATTTAGTCTTCCCATTTACAACATCATTTTTTTTTTATTCAGACCAATGTGTGAATGCACACGAAAACAATAGGCAGGGTTTAACACACAAACCAATCATATCTATCATAACCGACTAATTTATATATTTCTTTCATTTGACGTCGTAAGTAGAGATGCACCGATGTATCGGCCAACAATCGGTATTGGCCGATGGCCGATTCAATGTGTCGGGAGATATGGAGTGGGTCTGAGATGATTTTTGACTTATTGTTTCGCCCTTTTTTCAAGGCCGCGGAAGCATGGTAGTGGGCTCGTGGTTTGTTACACAGTTCATAAGTTGTTTGGAGTTTTTTCGTTTAGTATAATTTGTACCTTAAAGGGGTGGTTCAGAATTTTAGACATTGGGCCTCATTTCCAAGTTAGCCTTAGTGTTATTTATCAGTGGAGACAGCTTTCAAAAATTTTCATCCAGTCGTTCCAGTTACATAGTTCGCCGGTGCTAGGCTAGCGCGAGTCAACGGTAACTGCTAGCCTGCCATTAAAAACAGTTGTTTTTAACCAGGGGGCCCCCCAAGCGAGTCGAAAAACCGAAAAATATTTTTTTTAGATGACTTAAACAAGTGACAAAAATGAATGAATGAATATGAATTAATGAATGAATAATTCGAGACAAGATAATTCTGATTACATGATCAATATACCTGCCTACAACTGCTGTGTCTGCCAGCGTTTAATTCATGCGCATAATCTACACACCTCGCACATGCATAGACAATTCGTGCGCAACTGCGTATAGTCACGGTAATGTTAAGCCATGTAACAAAAAAGGACGTATCCATCTGGTGCCGTAAATAGAAAGAAGAAAAGGCCAGAGGAGGAGAAAAAAAAGCTAGATAAAACTATATTTGCATGATTATTTACAGTATGTTTTGTGCAGACCATTCCTATCTACGGCAAGCCCCGAGAGGAAAAATACATTGCATAACGCACATACAACGAGCGCCAGTACATCATTACCGGCATTATAGTAACAGACTTTGTTGGATTCTGTCATGTACAATCCAACCAAGTCTGTTACAATAATAATAAAAAAAAACTTACAATGTATTGAGACAGTTGAATAATAATAATTTTTTTTTACAGTTTTCAACAATAATTGTCATTGTTGAACCCTTGCTCTTATTTTGTTGATTTCTCAGTTTTGTCATTATTTTAGCAAATCAATTATTTGATATGTTTTGAGACAGTTTGTTTTAAGAAGTTTCAAAGAGTTAGTAAAAGAGTAAAGTAAATTATTTATTTAAGTATAGGCTATTTTTTATTAAGTAGGCCTATTTATTTTGTATTAATACATAACCTCACTGTGTTCATTTATAATGTATCATTATTGCGTGATATTTGTGTCAATAATTGTCAAGCACATGTGACTCCGCGTAGTGGGAGGGGGCCCCCAAATCAAATTCTGCTTAGGGCCCCCACAAGGCTCGGGCCGGCTCTGCACTCCACAGTACAACAAAAGCAAATAAATTATAACGCCAGACTATCGATGTAAATGTCTGTTGAGAGAATAATGTTAGAAATCAAACTACCCTTTCATCGCATTGCAATAGTTATACTTTGTTCCCTGTATTTATCAGCACAGTCTACAGCAGCGGCGGAGTGATATGTAGTTACCTAGGCAACCGAGAGAGGTAGTGAGAGAGAGAGGTAGAGAGAGGTAGTGCAGGTAGTTTCGACTGTAGTGCGTTTCGGTTATGTGTTTACTTTTCGGCGCAGGAATACTAACCGGAGCAAAGTAAAAATCCCCCGCTGCTGAGAAACTAGTTCCTGTAAATGAGTTGCGATCATTGAGATGCAAGAGTAGTTTGATTTTTAACATTATTCTCTTAACAGACATTTACATCGATAGTCTGGCGTTATAATTTATTTGCTTTTGGTGTACTGTGGAGTGTTTTTAATGGCAGGCTAGCAGTTACCTTTGACTCGCGCTAGCCTAGCACCAGGGAACTATGCAACTGGAACGACTGGATGAACATTTTTGAAAACTGTCCCCACTGATAAATAACACTAAGGCTAACTTGGAAATGAGGCCCGATGTCCAAAATCCTGAACCACCCCTTTAATTTCAATCAATGTCTTGTAAATCAATTATCTGGATTTAAATAAATAAGAAGAAAATAAAAAACAACGCTTGGTGGAATGAAGTGCGTATCAAAACATAAGCCCACTACCCTGCTTCTGCGGCCTTGAAAAAAAAAAAAAAAAAAAACAGATGGTATATCCATTTAATTTTGTAAATCTAATGCTTCTTTCCAGGCTGTTAGAATCTATTATAACAAACAGTATAATAGAACAATCTGAGCCCATAGTTGCATAGAGTATGAAAACAGAGAATTTAGTCTGTTAGCTGTTTTCATACAGTACGGTGTGCTTAATGTTTTTTTTATCATTAAAAAGTTGCAGATACAGATCTTTAAAAAGCAGATGCCATCTCATTGAAAGATTTCAGCAATGTGAGAAACGGTATGAGAACTTAATTTTTTTGGCTTGAAACATATATGTGCACATGTGTTGAATACAAGCTCACATCTCTTTTCAAAATATTATACATACATTTTCTCAAAGATTTTAAGGAAGGCTAGGGTTGCATGTTTTTTTTTTTTTTTTTATTTGTTTATAACCAAATGTGTACTCTCACAGTCTGAAACTAGATAAAGCACCTTCTCCAGCACTCTCACACCTGTCTGCAAAGAGTGATCAGTCAATGGATCGGCCGATTGTGTTTAAAAAGTATGCACATTTAGACTGTTACAAATGATGTGCTCATTGTATTATAAATAAAACATTTTATCAGTTACAGTTGTGCTTGTTCAGCATATCATGTCTCTTTGTTAAAAATGTGTCTTTCCAAATCTTAAAGTCTAAAATCATGTGAAGCACCATCTCCAGCACCTTCCTTCACATCTCTGAAGAGTGATCAGTCAATGGATCGACCGATTGTGTTTAGCCAAGAAGCAATCAGACGGTATGAAATTCTATTTGACATCCATTTCATTTTGTAAACCAAATGCTTTTCCCCAGGCTGTTAGAATCCATTATAACAAACAGTATAATAGAACCATCTGAGCCCATAGTTGCATAGAGTATGAAAAGAGAGAATTTAGTCTGTTAGCTGGTTTCATATGGTGTGCTTAATGTTTTTTTGTATCATTAAAAATGTGCATTGTCATGCAATTTGTTTATAACCAAATGTATACTCTCACAGTCTGAAACCAGATGAAGCAGCATCTCCAGCACCCTCACACCTGTCTGCAAAGAGTGATCAGTCAATGGATCGACCGATTGTGTTTAAAAATGAAAAGTATGCGAATATAGACTGTAACAAATTGTGTTAAAATTTAAGTAAATATAGTTTATCAGTTACAGCTGTGCTTGTTTTGCATAGTGTCCCTAGTGAAAAAAAACTATACCAAAATGTGTTTTAAATACTTTTTTTCATACTAAGTAAACTAAAAATCCATGAAAATTTTTAATGTCATATTCGCTTGAGACTTACTGAAATAAATATTATAATTAAAGTTTATTCATAGTACTTGTTTAATGCACAATGCACATCTTAATATTAAGCTTAAAATATTATTTAATATCACTATTAGTAAGGATAGTATGATCTCTGTATAATATCAGTCTTTAAATGCAAGATGTTAGTTAACCTGAAGTATACTTGCAATAGTTCCACTTTAGCACAATCAAATAAACTTTAGTATATCTTTAGTTGGACCTCAGCACTATTTCTGGATAACTAAAGTGCATTAAGTGCAAAATTAGTTCCAATTTAGCAGACTTTTAGTATGTCAATTTAGTATACCAAAAGTGCAATTTCAGGGTATTTATATTAAGTACATAAACATGTAAATGTATTTGTAGTATACTTAGCATAAAATAAATGTTTCAAATGCATTTTAGTAGATTTACTTTTTACTAGGGGTCTCTCTTGTAGATTGTTAAACTAATTTTGTCTTTCGCATTCTTAAAGTCTAAAATCATGTGAGGCACCATCTCCAGCACCTTCCTTCACATCTCTGAAGAGTGATCAGTCAATGGATCGACCGATTGTGTTTAGCCAAGAAACAATGAGTTACAGGTATGAAATTAAATTATAGCTTGCTTTCTGTGTATGTAATAAACAAAAATCAGTTATGTTGTTGTCATTACATAATGTTTGATTTGATCACTGAGGTCTTATAAATGAGAAGAAATTTAATTAAAGTTGGACATTTGGACATTCCTTTTAGAGATTGGAAGTGAGAGTTAAGTGAGTGGATGTGTTCCTTTTTTTTAGCACTCTACAACATTAGCACTCTGCACTATTATTGTTTTTATGCAGGCAGTATACACTCCAATCTTGTCTTGGTTTTATTTATTACTATGCATTGATCATTTTTTCATTTGTTTTGTGTATTTTACAATGGGTACGATTATTGCATGGCCATTGATCATGGTATGATCATTGCACAAGTTGAAAATGTAATAACCACAGATATTTCCACAGCACACTTTCAGCCTCTCTGCTGACAGAGGATCACTACAAGTGCCCAGTGTGCACAGAGGTCTTCAAGGATCCAGTTTCCACCCCCTGTGGACACAGTTACTGCAAACACTGCATTGATTTCTACTGGAGACAACCAACCCAAGCTAGATCTTATGCTTGTCCTCAGTGCAGAAAGAGGTTCAGAAGTCGTCCAGTGTTGAGTGTGAATGTTGCTTTGTCTAAACTGATTGACGAACTCCAGAAGGCAGGATTTAGTCCCGCTCTTCCTGCTCACTGCTATGCTGGACCTGAAGATGTGTCCTGTGATATCTGTCCTGAGAAGAAGCTCAAAGCTGTTAAATCCTGTTTGACCTGCACTGTGTCTTACTGTGAGACCCACGTAAGACAACACTACACAGTACCAGCACTGCAGAGACACAACCTGGTGCAGGTGAATGGATATCTATCTGCCCATCTGACTGTCCGTCTATCCAGTTTAAAGTTCACAGACTAATCAGTATAATGTGTTTGGGTTTGTTTAGGCTATTAATTTACCACATAAAGAAGAGAGAGAATTACAAGAAGAAAGCAGAACATTGACAGCAAGAGTAATAGAACTGGAGGCGGTAATAACTTTATAGATAGATCACTTAGTGGGCCACATGTATGGGAAATATTAATTTCTTAAGTTATGTTCAAACTATTCTAATTTTATATTTTTTCAGACCCTGAAAGAGAGAGATTTACAGGCAAAACGTTTGTGTAAAGGATTTGAAATTCACTGTATTGGTGAGTATATCATAGATATTGGCAACTTTACAAGTTAGATTGTCTTATTTTTATGTTTCTTTTGATTTTTCAGATTTCCCCCCAGATGTGATTGAGATGGCTGCGCTAAGTCGATCTTTAAGACTTGGAATGTTGTACGACAGTCACAGCAATTCTTTCTGCCAAGGTGATAATTTGAAACCGCAAATTTGTTACACCATTGAGACATGTTACACCCTTTTATTCTAGAATGGAAAAAAATAATAATTTAAATGTGAATGTCTGTTTGCAGGTATCTTTATGTTAGAGCACAACACCATTGACTCTATGAAGGTGTCTCTCCCTCGGCTAAAGACATGCGTGAAGATTTTAGAGCATGACTCTGTGCAAGAGAGGTGCAGAGCACTGGATATCTCCTCTGCATTCTTAAAAGAATTATCTGTACTTAAAAAACTGTCTGGAGCTGCAGCCTTTCTGAACCACCCAGGTCAGCCTCAACATCAGGACAGAGTTACACTACACTACCGAACTACCACTAGACTGGACATGATCAGCCAAAAACTGTTACAGGAAGTAACTCTCCATTCAATCCTTAATGCAACAGCTACACATGTGATCATCGCTGTGTGCTATGGAGCTCAGGCCTTTTTTGTTTTTGATTATGTGAATGAGAAAAGCAGCACAGAGAGAAATACAGAAATGGAAAATGTTATCAAGAAACTCACCACCATCAGTTCAAGAGATGTATTATCAAATCTTAATGAAACAGAAAAAGCTAACAGCATTTTTTATAACTGCAGTCTCTACACTGATGTGGGTGATGCAATGAGTTCAGTTTCTTTTGATAAGGCAGTGGAGATCTACGGTTCTCTGCCGACACTGCTTGGATCTACAGGCGAGAGAGCAGTTCCTCTGAAGGTCTGGCTGTATCCTCTGAAGAAACTGGACAAGAGCTCAGTGTGTGCTGCTCTAAATGGAGTCAGTGAAGATGTAATGAATAAAACTGAAAACATTCTGGAACATCTGAGAAAACAGATCAGTATCTGTCAGGACATGATCACAGACTGCATGAATGTAAAGTTCATTATTTGGTTTCCAGCTCTAAAGGATAAACTTATACAGTTTTCAGAACTGTTGCATGAATACATGACTGATTTGCACAGAAGAATTGCAGAAATTGTTAAAGAAGAGGAACATGAGAAGAGACTGCAAAAGCTCATTGAAAGCCATAACCATTCACCATTCAGTGCAGAGAAAACAAACCAGTGGCTGGAGAATAAAGAAACTGAGCTGAAGATTCTGAGAGACTGCAGAGCTGCAGACATCACTGTTGTGAAATCACAGGCAGAGTTACAGAAAGTCATTAGTCACTCTCTGACAACCAGAGTGATGTGTCTCACACTTTTCTCACCAGATGCTAAGGATGTTTTCCTCGCTGCTTTGAGGCAGAATATATCACATGATTTAATGCCATTGAAGTCTGTAATAAATGTACAACTGTTTATTGCTGCCAAAGAGGAAAATGAAGATGTAGCGCAAACCAAGTTCATTGCTGCATTGATAACTGATGATGGTTTTCCAGAATACTCTGTGCAGTTTTATCATGATGGGAAGATTGTGAGCAATAAGGTGAAGTTTGGTACAAAACCAGAACTTGCCCAAATAGTTCAGGTAAAAAACACCAATGTGTCCCTGAAACTGAATCGACCACAAACCAAAAGCATTGAAAAATATGTGGTAGAGTACAGAGCTTTGGGCGATGATGGAATGAGTAACACAACTTGGAAACAGATTGTTTTTGACGGCACAACTATCAATAAAATATCAGGTCTAAAGTCTGGCCATCAATATCAGCTGAGGTATTTAGTTATTGAGCCGGACTGTATGAGCAACTTCAGCAAGGTTATGAACTTTCAGACAGCTGTTGCAGCAACACCTGGGCAACCCTTAGTGAATAAGGTGGACAGAGATACTCTCAGGGTCACGTGGCTTAGGGCTGAAGCTGATGAAGATTGTCCAGTGCTGCGGTATATGGTTGAGTATAAAGAAGCAGGACTGGATGGCTGGTCATCAGTACTAACACAAGGACCTCAGTGTGAATGTACTTTAACTGTTCCTCACAGCACCTGGTATAGAGTCAGAGTCTCTGCTGTCTATGAGGACGTCACCAGTAAACCTAGTGAGGAAACACCAGTACCAGTCGATGGTGAGATGCATGTGAAATAATGAAAACAAATAAAAACCATCTTTTGGATTGATGATGCTAATGCTTCATTCTTCATATCATTACAGTCTGGAGAATAGACCTCTCAGAGAGAAAGAGCTCCATCCTCCTAGAAGTGCTGAAACTGCAAACAAAGAAGAAACCAGTAGAGCTGAGAGACTGGACATATGAAGAGAGTGAAGTGAGGGGATTCCTCCAGTGTCTGCCCTACATCTCTGAATTGAGGTCAGCATAAAATAGATGTTTTATTTTTGTTTTAACAGCTCCATACTGTAAAAGCAGAATCTAAATAAGTAGGGAGCAACAAGACAGCACAATTGTTGTGATATTGTTTTACACAACAATTCAATAAAGATAATATTGATTAATATTTATTTTATGTAGTTATTTTTTTCTGTTTTTGCGCTTAAAAAAAAGGAATACCATTATAACCACTGACCATCACAGTACTGGGGTTTTGTTGCTAACTGATTCAGTATTTTTGAACAAATCAGTTTGAGTAAATTATTTAATTACTCATTCAATAAAGTGTTAAATTTAATTACTCATTCAATTTTGCACTTAAAAAAGCTATAATTTAATTTCATACCTGTAACTCATTGTTTCTTGGCTAAACACAATCGGTCGATCCATTGACTGATCACTCTTCAGAGATGTGAAGGAAGGTGCTGGAGATGGTGCCTCACATGATTTTAGACTTTAAGAATGCGAAAGACAAAATTAGTTTAACAATCTACAAGAGAGACCCCTAGTAAAAAGTAAATTTTTCTTATTCTTATTTTAAGTGCAAAATTAGTTCCAATTTAGCAGACTTTTTAGTCTGCTTTTTAGCAGATATGAGATAACACTTTTGTTAAAATCTGTATTTGTGAGGGTGTGGTTTAAATTTGACACTTTACACTTTTATTTTTACACTTTCTCTATAAAATCTGCTTTATTTGTAATTCAGAATTTGCAATACAATCTATATTTTCACACCAGATCAGTTACTATCACGATGTCTATCATAAAAGTAAGAATCTTAAAGCATGAAACAATGGTCCAAATTACATCCCCACAAATTCATGAAAACGATGTCTCAAACAAAGCACATTTTTTATCTGTAATCTATGTTGTGGATTTTAGACCGTTTTATTGACAGTGTTTTTATCCAATACTGTAAGTAATTTTTATACAGTATTCTATCTGTCTTTGTAAAAGGGTTTTCAGTTCCCATTTTAATTTTAATCTTAATCAGTTTTATTTTTTTCAAATGTACTTCGTATACATTTTCATACGGTGCAAAATTATATAAAATATATATGAAAAATATATTATAAATATAATTCTGTCATGACAACACTCGGAGAGATAACATGGTAATGAACAAGCCTGGACTGGGGATAAAATTTGGTCCTGGACAAATCCAGCCCATCTGGCTGTTTTGCTGGGGTTATAACAGTAAAGCACTGATTTAACCTAGTAAGCCGTAAAGTAAATTTACTGCTAATAAATGTACTGTTCATCCTAAAGTCATTCCAAAACCTGACTTTCTTTCTGTGGAACATAAAATAAGATCATTTGAGAAATGTCTGTTTTTTTTTTAAATAGAAGTCAAGGTTAACCAAAATGGTTTGGTGACCAACATTAAAAAAATCTTCTTTTGTGTTTCCCAGAAGAGATAAATAATGACATTTTGGGATGATCTAACAGTAAATAGTAAACACCTAATTTATGTAAGACATTGATATTTATATTTCATCAAGCTCAATTTCAAATAACATTTACTAATGAATTAAAATTAATTTAAACGATTAAAAAGTTAAACTATTAGTAAGATCATGGTAGTCACAGGTATGCTCCTCGTTACCATGGATATGGTTTCTAAATTAAATAAATAATAATAAACTAAAGAATTTTTAATAAAAATAATAAATACATTTCTGCCAAAACACATTTCTACAGTGTTTGTAGTTGTGCTGGATTGACAATTTACCTTGTCATGCAGTTTACATGGTTGTGACTGTTTTCAGCTACATGTAGATTCACCAAATGATTTTATAACACACATTTCTAAGTCAAGTCTGGATGGATCAAGCCAGTTGCGCACTTGATAGAGCGGCAGAAGCGCAGAGCACATTCGATCTGCTTTCGCATGCACAATTACTGTTTTATAAAACATTACCATTTCGGTCACACATTTGGAGTGTTAGCCTTTTGCAGTTGCCATTTACAAATGCACTGCATTTTAAAAACAGCACCTAATATAGTGGAGGGGGGAGATCTCCCCCGATTCACAACTCGCCCACTACTCGACCGGCCCACTAGGAAAGTACATGCCTGGCAATGAATATGGCATTGTTAATGTATTTGGTCTTGGCGGAATAGTTCTGCTACGCTGCTGCTGCAGAGCAAGTACAGAGACTTGCTACTGCCAATACATTCACAGACATTGCTGTGAGCATGTTAGACATGTAACATGCATGAAATAATCCCCCAAAAAGCAGGAGACTTGAGAAAAGTACAGACCCCATCCCCCCAAAAAAATTCGCCAGATAATTTACAGGCTGTACAGCCAATGCAATTTTGTTTTATCCAGCTCTAGACATTAACATTCTCAATTTGTCTGTGTCCACAGAATTCATGAACATGCTTTAGAGATGAAGAAATCTGCTGCCCAGTTTCTGCTGAATCTGACTGTTGCAGCTTCAAAGTGTGTTACAACTACAGGAGAGAGTTTCATTAAGCTGTTAACATCTGTGTGCAGCTACAGATCATTTCTCTGGTATGACGATAATGAGTTTTATGATGAGCATCAGGTTGAACACTGTGATTTCCTGCTGGATCTGTACTCATATGTGAAGGACTATGAGACTCAAAAAGGCAGGAGTGTCCTTCCAGCATTACAGCCAGTTTATCAGTCAGCTCCTGCAGTCTGGAGAATAAAGCTCTCAGAGAGAAAGAGCTCCATCCTCCTAGAAGTGCTGAAACTGCAGACAGAGAAGAAACCAGTAGAGCTGAGAGACTGGACAGATGAAGAGAGTGAAGTGAGGGGATTCCTCCAGTGTCTGCCCTACATCTCACAGCTCAGGTGAGAGTCTCATTGGAAAATACACTCTGGGTTTGATTTTCTTTATTTCATGTTGCCCACTCATTTTATTAATTTAACTAATAAATGTGTGAATACAAACAGCAGAACTGCATTACATGTTATCACACTTGAAAAGTTGCCCCAACATCCCACTTGTGTTCAAAAGAAAAAAAATATTGACAGTAGTTGGTTGTCACATTTTAACTGATCAGTGATCACCCTATACATGTCTGAGTTGAGCAATTCTAGGATGAGGGGTTTGGATAGCTAAATCATAGGGAAGTTCTTAAATAAAAACATATGTGCTGCTTTTGGTTTTCTTGGCCAACATAACATGTATTTATTTGTGTATATTTGATGATCACTTGCATTTTATTCCAGAGCTTTAAAAGGATAGTTCATCCAAAAAAAAAAAAAAAATCTCTCATCATTTCCTCACCCTCATGCCATCCCTGATGTATATGGCTTTCTTTCTTCAGATAAACACAAACAATGATTTTTAGGAAAATAATCAATCTCTGTGGGATAATGCAAGTGAATTGATAGTACTTATTTGACGCTTGAAAAACCACTCACAGTGATCGGTAATCCATACGACCCCAGTGGATAAATCAAGTCTCAAGAGAAGAATGTGAAAGCACAGGTCCTGTCACTTTTCACAAGAGGTTCACAATGCACCTACATCATGTATCACAACGTCCCTCTCATGATTGCTTGTACAGTGCATCCGGAAATAATTCACAGCGCTTCACTTTTTCCACATTTTGTTATGTTACAGCCTTTCCAAAATTTTTTATTAAATTCATTATTTGCCTCAAAAATCTACAATCAAAATACACCATAATAACAACGTGAAAGAAGTTTGTTTGAAATCTTTGCAAATTTATATATATATAAAAAAAAAAACGAAACAATCACATGTACATAATGTCACGGTTTGGGTTTTGTTTCTTGTTTCTTGTTTCTTGTTCCTGGTTCTTGTCTTGTCATGTGATTCCGTTTGTCATGTGATCCTGCCATGTGTCTTGTCATTGGTTAATCGTCTGATTATTGTTCACAGGTGTCCCTTGTCTTGTCGTTAGTCTTGTGTATTTTAGCCCTCATGTTTGCCCTGTGTCTTTGTCTAGTATTGTATGTTATGTGTGAATGTTACCGGTCCAGGTTCTTGTTTTCAGTTTTCTGTTTCATGCCTCGCCATGCCTTTGTTTTGTGTTTGAGTGTTTTATTAAAGTTTGCATTTGGGTCCTAAAGCTTGCTGCCAGCCATTCATTACACATAAGTATTCACAGCTTTTACCATGACACTTAAAAGGCATCCTGTTTCCACCGATCATCGTTGAGATGTTTCTACAACTTGACTGGAGTCCACCTGTGGTAAATTCAGTTGATTGGACATGATTTGGAAAGGCACACCCCTTTCTATAAAAGGTCCCACAGTACAAACCAAGCAATTGTCTGTAGACCTCTGAGACAGGGTTGTGTCGAGGCACAGATTTTGGAAAGGGTACAGAACAATTTCTGCAGCATTGAAGGTCCCAATGAGCACAGTGGCCTCCATCATCCGTAAATTGAATAAGTTTGGAACCAACAGGACTCTTCCTAGACCTGGCGGTCCAGCCAAACTGAGCGATCTGGGAAGAAGAGCCTTAGTCAGGGAGGTGACCAAGAATCCGATGGTCACTCTGATAGAGCTTCAGCGTTTCTCTGTAGAGAGAGGAGAACCTTCCAGAAGAACAACCATCTCTGCAGCACTCCACCAATCAAGGCCTGTATGGTAAAGTGGCCAGACGGAAGCATCTCCTCAGTAAAAGGCACATGACAGCCCGCCTGAAGGACTCTCAGACCATGAGACACAAAATTCTCTGGTCTGATGAAAAACATAGATTAAACTCTTTGGCCTGAATGGCAAGCGTCATGTCTGGAGGAAACCAGGCACCGCTCATCACCTCGCCAATACCATCCCTACAGTAAAGCATGGTGGTGACAGCATCAGCTGTGGGGTTGTTTTTCAGCGGCAGGAACTGGGAGACTAGTCAGGATCGCGAGGGAAAGATGAATGCAGCAATGTACAGAGCTATCCTTAATGAAAAGCTGCTCCAGAGCACTCTGGACCTCAGACTGGTGCGACGGTTCATCTTCCAACAGGACAACGACCCTAAGCACACAGCGAAGATAACAAGCCCCAAACGGCTGAGGTGCCGAAGCACCAAGTCCATGTGTTCGCACAACAGATCTCGCGAGTGAGCTATTATAAGCCAGTCGTCGAGTTGAGAATGCGAACGCCATGTTCAAGCACCGCGACGGTCATGTTCCCAGAGTGAGAACATGACTCGTTCACGAACGCTGCCTCAGCGTGCGCAAGGCCCAAGCACAAGAGGCAGCGATCATGACCATCAGCCGGAGGCAGAAGTTGGCCGCATCCAGAAATACACGGGTGAAACGTCATCCTGAAAAGGACGCGATCTTCACTCGTGTTGCTCTTTTCACAGAAAAACACTCTCTTATTGTGCTGAAGCACACGGGGATAAACGCAGCAACACAGCGGGGAAACTGCAAGCCCACTGTGTGCACTCAACCAATACCAGCTGTGACAACAGCCCTTTGAAAAAAAGGCAGATCGCGTGAAGCAGCAGCTGGTACTCGGGAGATCGTGAAGATCGCTGAAGCGCCGTCACACCAACACAGAGAGGTCTCGGAGAAAACAGCAGACTCGTTGAGCATGAAGATAAAACACCAATCTTGAAGCTCATCCACTCAGAGGACACAACCGGTCGGCTCCGAAGCAAAAAGCATGTGTGTATGCGCTCGCTTCCGCTTTATACCCGCACTGGTAGGCGGGGCGCGGAATGCAAGTCCTGCATGCCAATGTTCATTGGCTCGTTTTAATTCACTCGAAGGCAATTGGTCTCCCTAGCCTGATCCCAATTCATTGGAAACTCCTCCGACGAGACGTAGGAGTTCCCGAACGAAAGGGAATTTAAGATAGTGTGCATCTAGCGTATTACATTTCTATATAAATTCTGAGAAAGTGTTTGCATGTCCATTTCCATCCAGGATTTCTTATGCGCATTTTAAAAAATAACAAAATATTAAAAATCCTCAAAATAGTTGTGTGGAAGCGCAATTGAGATTGCACAAATGTTTCGTTACTTTTCCCTACCTCACTAACTTGCCGGATCCGTCACCCCCTTGTTAAGGACCTCAGAATTAAGAAATTAAGCACTGACACAATGATAAAAAAAAAGAAAAATTGGAAAAAAAATTGGTAATTTTACTACAAACACCTATCGTTTCGATTCAGAGGACATCTATTCATCCACTGGGGTCGGATCGATTACCGTCACAATCGCTGTATGTGGATTTTCAAGCATCAAAAAAGTGGTACCCATTCACTTGCATTATATGGACTCACAGAGATGGATTATTGTCATAAAAATATTTGTGTTTATCTGAAGAAAGAAAGTCATAAACATAAGGGATGGCATGAGAGTACGGAAATTGAGAGAATTTTCAGTTTTTTGGTGAACTATCACTTTAAGATTTATTTTGTTGTTCTGTTCAAACACTTATTGAAGTGACATAACATAGAGGAATTTAGTGATACAATGGGGCTGATCTACAGTTAATAGTTATTCCGTTAGCTGGGTTAAGTACTCAATCCTTATGTTACTTTTTGTTCAATACATAAAAAAGTAGTGGTAAATTTACCTATATTAAACCTGCAGAAGTACTATATAATAATGCATCACTTGCCATTTTTAATCACCTGCCATAGACATTGATGGAGTATTTATTTATTTTTCTCCACAGATTCTATCCCTTTGTTTCCTGTGAGAAGAAAATGTCTTTCCAGTTTCTAGTAAAACTGATTTCTTCATCATATTTGGAAAAAAACACTGAAGAAGATTACATTGATTGGTTCACATCTGTGTGCAGCTACACATCTTTCCCTTTTGATGAAAAATATTTTGATTATTGCATGTATCAGATTGATCAGTGTGATTTCCTGCTGGATCTGTTCTCACATGTGAAGGACTATGAGACTCAAACAGGCAGGAGTGTCCTTCCAGCATTACAGCCAGTTTATCAGTCAGCTCCTGCAGTCTGGATCATAGACCTCTCAGTAAGAAAGAGCTCCATCCTCCTAGAAGTGCTGAAACTGCAGACAGAGAAGAAACCAGTAGAGCTGATAAACTGGACAGGTGAAGAGAGTGAAGTGAGGGGATTCCTCCAGTGTCTGCCCTACATCTCACAGCTCAGGTGAGAGTTAGCTGCCTTTTACGGTTCCTCCTGAACCAAAACATCAAGCTTATGCTGCTTTCACTCCATGTCGTAACCGTGATTTGATTTAAGAGCTCTGTAAGTTGGTCAGGTTCATTATTATTGTAAAGTTATGTTTTTTGAGACATGAGGTAGTTTAACGCCATCACTCGTGATGCTATGCAAACTACTGCTGTGTACGTTCATGTCTCATATGTTTTGTAGGAGGTAGGGGTGTAACGGTACACAAAAATCACGGTTCGGTACGTACCTCGGTTTTAAAGTCACGGTTCGGTACGTTTTCGATACAGCAAAAAGTAAGAAATGCCAGAGAAATTTCTTATTTGTTAAAAGAAAAAATATTTTTTTAAATAAGTGTGAGTTTTCCTTCATCTTGAAACTTTCAGGTTTATAAATGGGGGTCATCTTTGAAGGATGAACAAATAATGTTTTGGTCATCACATTAAAAATAACATTTAAATATATGAAGAGTTTAGATGCAAAAGCCATTTGAAATTTTCTTCTAGAATGATCATTTTTATCAAGCTTGTATATTTAAGTTCAGTAATTTCACTTAAATGGCAATGAAGATTGCCTATTAATTGTCCTTTGAGTGAAATTACTGAACTTAAATATACAAGCTTCATAAAAATGATCATTCTAGAAGAAAATTTCAAATGTTACTTAGAGGCTTTTGCATCTGAACTCTTCATATAGGCTATTTATTTATATAATATTTGA